TACTAGGTACCAGACATTCTACTGAGCACTAAAATATTAACTAGCTTTTCATGGAGCATATATGTACTTTGTAAACATTTCCTTGCTTCTTTCATTTTTCTTTCAACTTTGCTGAAGTTTTTTTATGTTATCTGAAAAAGTTAAAATTTTTAAAATTCCTTTGTCATTTCTATGTTTCTGGTCATGTTTAAGGGGGTCTTCCCTTTTGAGTAATTGTAATCATTTCATAAACTAGTATTTTTATGTTCCTGTGTTTCTCATTTACTTGTAAGTTCTTTATAGCAATTCTCATTGTAGAAGTATTCTAAAATAGTAAAAAAAAAAAAAAAAAAATTGTACCAGGGATTGAACTTAGGGATGCTTAACCACTGAGCCGCATCCCTGGTCCGTTTTACCTTTTATTTTGAGACAGGATCTCTCTAGATTGCTCACAGCCTTGCTAAATTGCTGAGATAAGCTTTGAATCTGCGATCCTCCTGCCTCAGCCTCCTGAGCTGCTGTGCACCGCCGTGTCCGGCTAATAAATGTTTTTAAATTCCAAGATGAAAAAAAAAGGAGACATCTGCAGCAATTTGTAGCAATAAACTTCAGCATCCATCCATTTTTCAACAAGACAGGAGTGAAATGTGAGAAGATGGTCCCCAGGGAGGTGATAGGTGGGAAAGGCTGACAGCTTATGGAATGTAGTGCTGGAGGGGCTGCAGAGACTTCTCCCACGAAGTGGCTCTGGGTGCTTCTTGAATACTGGCTCCTCTCTTCCTCCTGTCTGCCTCTTCCATGTGCCCTTTCTCCTAAGAAATCTCCTCTTTCCATCTCCTCCCTGTACCCTGTGCACCTACCCAAACCTCAAAGACACATTCAAAACAAAGCTCATGTTTTCAAATAGCACTTCTTCCAACGCTAAGATTTCTTTCACTGTTAGTGGAATCAGATTCAACAATCCAAGCACTACTTTAAAGGCTTGGCTCTTCTTTCTCACATAAGAATAACAGTTTTAGAAAATGAAATACAAAACAAAGGTGTAATACATCTCCTATGACCTCACATTTTTAGGGTAATTTTTTCTTGCCAACTGATCCTGCGTTTATGCTAACAGCCCTTTTGTTTCCTTAAAAGTACTCAGTTATTCCATCAAAAGCCAAAAGGAAAATAAACTCTGTTTCTCAGGCAATGTGAGGCAATAAGAAAGGCCTTGAGCACTTTGAGAACATTTTTTTTTTATTGAGTGGAAAGAACCAATTATAGTTACCAGTTATTTTTTGGGGGGGGGGGGGGGGGGGGGGAGGGCGTGGAAAAAACAGTGTCTATGTAGAGAGAGGGCAAAGTGTTTCTTTTGTTTGTTTTTAGATCTGCCTTTAAGATATTTCTGTAAGGAAGACAAGTAAACATTAGATAACAGCGTGAGACCTATGTTATCTCAAAGTAAGGAAGAAACTTCAGAATTATAAATTCAAAGATCAGCACAAAAATTATTTTGTTTGTAGATTATCATTTAAATTCCTAAGCACAAAATTAATCAAGAATTTTAAAGGGTATTGTTTCTGTCTGTGTAGGTATACACACAAATATGTACATATACACATAAATGTACATGTACACATGTCTATAGCATATAACAACGTATATGCATATAAATGTTACATATATGCAATATATATGAAATGAAATACACACACACACACACATATATATATATATATATATGAGAGAGAGAGAGAGAGGGAACACAAGAGAGAAAGAGAAATCATATAGTGCTTATCAAAACCAATCGTATATTTTGGAAAGACAAATTGGTTAGAAACACAAACCAGTAAATCAATTCTGCTCCCCTAAAGAGACTGACCAATTTAAGGTCCTGAGTATAAATTCTCTGGCCTTTTCCAGCAGGCACAATACCAAGGTGGTGTCTCAAAAGACAAACATACTTTTGTGGTAGATAACTGTTTTCTTGGCTTCTAAAGAACTGTGGCCACATTCTTATGAAGAAAATTGTGGCCTACTTTGCCAGTTATTTTATTTTTCCAAAGTAGGAAAATTCCCACCCATAGGCACAGGAATTAAAGTTCCTAAAAGAAAAGTTCTCTTCCTGAGGACCATCAGGTGGTATCTCAAATGCTCACCTCTAATGACAATCTGGTTGTGACGAATCCTCTATGTTACTTTCTAGAATCTGATGTGTGTGTGGGGGGGGGGGGGGGGGGGTGGGGGGGGCGGTCCCAATACCTCCAAGTACACAGCAGAATTTAACTGTGGTTTATATGAACACATCTGAATAACTGACTCATTTCTTCATCCCTCTCATCTTTTGTATATTATCCCATTATTACTTACTTCCCTACTTAGCAAGCATTTATGAGGTCTCTACTCTGTATCTGACAGGGTACCTGCTAATGTGGTTGCAAAGATGATTTCTTTCTTCTTTTATTTCAACCCATACTATTCTATGAAGTACCGGGGACATGCAAACCTAAAGATTTCTGCTTGTAAAGGTTTACAGTCTTGTTTTCTTTGCCCATCCAGAGAGTCCATTCATAAAATTCACCTGTGATTTATGCAAATTCTACTCTTGCTGTATAAATAGCCATCTTACTCAGAGTCAAGAGCACAGCTTGTAGTTCCTCTTGAATCGCTTTTCATAATGGAGCACTCCTGTCTGGTGTCAGGTCAACACATATGGACTCAGGCCAGGGCCACATGTGTTACACTTGTCTAAATATTGGAGTCTGTGATTACACAGGATGGACTGAGTTTATGTTTCTGCAAATCAGTGGCTCCTTTTCCTGTGACATAGCAAAAATGCACTGATATGCTAAAAGGGGCAAATGTAACAAAAATGAATGAGAAAAATCACTGAAAAAAAGTTGAAGTTTTGATATCATCATTTATCCTTATAATATTAAAAATTGGTAGACTTAGGAAACCTTCGTATCTTCAAAGATTCAAGCCCTTAAAAAAGAGTTTTGTTCCATGAGCCATAGTTGGCCATTTGCTTACTGTTTTCTTTAATTTTGCTAATAGTGAGCTCTTTAGATGACTTTTGTTCAACTTATCTGAACATTAGTATATGCATAGATGCATATTTTTAAATGCAGAGATTTGGTGTCAAAATTCTGAGTCTATTGTTGCAATCTGTGTATCTATAAGACATCTCACTGTGCTTTTGATCTTAAAGATGTTGGAGTCCACTTTTTAAATACAAATTTTAACTAGAATTTTTGTGTCTTAGGTTTAATTTTCCCAGAGCAGATATTAAAACAAGGACTAGAAAACAGGTAATTGGTTTGAGAAATGATCTCCAGAAATACTGGTAAGGGAGTAAGGAAGAAAGACATAGGATCTTTTAAAAATTTTTCTTATCAAGGTAGCTGCTGCTATGGGCAGCTGGGGCTCCACCTGAGCAGGAAAATCAGAGGCATGGGGGCAAGCATGCCTGAGGGATAGGAAACTGTACTAGTTTTCATCTGGTTCCATCCATAAATGGCCAAAAGCCCATTAAGCCCTCAGGCGGAAAGGTGGGAGCTGAGGTGGCTGTAAATCATTCTGCTGTGCAAAATCCATTATTCCAATTTAATTATGCTATTAGTTTCCATATCAAGCAACAAACTCAGGTTCCTTCCCCTCCTTTTTGTTTTTTGGGGGTCTTGGGTTTTTTTTTTTTTTTCTATTTTCATTTCTACTTTATTACTAAAGTGAACCAATTATAATTTCAACTGTTTTCTGCTGGTTGGCTCTTGTTTCTATGAAGCCCAGTTTTGTTACCTCTGAATTTCACTCTGCAGATTTAGCTATTGTCATTCCCATTTGTGTTGGTTCGCTCCCACCAAGAATAAACATTGTAAATTAGGTTGAAAAAAGTGGGTAGTTTCACCTACATACTAACCAATCATTGAAACTCCCTGAAACAACTGTGAGTGCCATCCCTCCAAATACTCCAGAATCATCTATTGCTGTAAGCAAGCTTCACCTCTGACCTGATGGTTGAACTTTAGTAAATTTATAGCATGGCCTTCTTAAGCCTCCGTTTCCTCATCTGCAAAACTATACTAACGATAGAGACTTCCTAACTTCTGGTTAGGAAGTAACCAAAGTAAATCGTTTAGAAGAATTTTTTTGTGGAAGTAAACATTCAATCAATATAAACTATTTATTATTAACGCTTTGTGATTTAAGATTGTTAGAATATATGTCAGTTATTTCATCAACTGCTGACTGATTTGCCAAAAGCATACTCACCATCCAAACTACCTATAAAGAACAAATGGTTGTATCCCTCTCCAGGGGTAAAAATCGTGGTTTCATAGGGTTGTGGCTGGTAAGGGCATCATAAGACACTATGCATAGTGGACACTGAGAACTGCTTTGTGCCTTTTCCTCTTCTAGGAATGTGTGCCACTAGTTTGGAGGATAGGAAAAATGATGTTATGATGAATTTCTTAGGCACTTCTAGAAAGATGGTCTCCCTGAGTGCTGGAGGATTTGATATTAGTTGACTCTCCTGTCATATCTAGTTGTTTATCCTGAAGCTCCAATACCCTTTCCAAAATGTCTTCAGAAAGGTTTGTCCGTTCTTGTTCAGTGGTTCCTACTCTGCAATCAGCGCTTCAGGATGCTCATGTGCTACTTCTGGTTCTGAGCTTAGTACAGGTTGAGTACCCCTGATCAGAAGTGTTTAGGATTCCCAGCTTGGGGAGGTGTTGGAATATTTCATATACATAATGAGATATCTTGAGGATGGGAACCCAGTCTAAACATGATATTGGTTTACATTTTATATACATCTTATACACCCAACCTGAAGGTAACTTCATAAAATATTTGTAATCATTTTGTGCATGAAACAAAGAGTCGTAGTGTGGCATTTTCCACTTGTGTTCCATGTCAGTGCTCCAAAAGTTTTGGTGTTTGAAGCATTTTGAATTTTGAATTTTTGTATTAGGGATGCTCAACCTGTAGATTTTTTTCTATAAACCATGCGTGTATTTTTTTTTTCTGTTTTTTAGATTTACTTGTGGGTGCATTTGGAACAGGAAAAGTAGCTGTTTACAGGTATGTGGCTGGTGGTATGCAAATGTTCTTCTAATTGTTTTAGTTACATTTTCTTTTTATTGTTTGTTTTGCCTTAAAAACCTATTCTGATTATTCTGGATAATACTTAGATGCTCTTTTTAAAATCTGGAGGTATTTTGGCCCTCAATTTTTAGCCTTTCATCCTTCTCTATTTTTATTTTCATACTTGATGACCAAACTTCCAGTCCCTACCAGTGAAACATTAAATAAGACTTGAAACTCAGAAAATCATAAAATGAGCCACTCTTTAAATATTACTGTATTTGAACTTTTCTTTGTACTTTGGAAATCATTGAAATGTGCACTCGTAGAGGAGTTTGGGGTGGGGGAATTTACTCTTTACCTTGGCTGCTATAATCAAGTGTGGACACTGAGTTAAGGAATAAAACATACCAGGAGTTGGCAGCCTGCAAAATCAAGTGTTGATCAGCAGTTCAAATGCAACAGGCGTGGAATCCAAGCCAGGCCGTTCCACACACTCACTAATTTGTAACCTTGGATAAATTCCTGTAACTTTCTAAACCTCAGGTGTTTTATCTGCAAAATGGAATAGCAATGCTGACTTTATTAGATAACCTTTGTTCAAAAGAATTCAGTGAGAATCTGCATGTGAAGTACTCTGAACACTAGCTGGTTAGATAGTTGATGCTTAAAATGTTTGGACTTTCCTTTAAAACATTTATAAGAATTTAAGAAACTATGTCAGGATATTGAGACAAAAGTCAGAGAGCATAAATAGTTGTCCCTAGGCATGTAGGGAAGGTAGTGCTAATACAGTCAGCTCCCAGAGAAAGTCTGAGGTTAAGGTTTCCTGCTGTAGGTGGGTTTTCTTCCTCATCAGTTCCATATAAACTCAATGAGAGCTGATTTATACCAATGACTTTCCACTTCGGGCTCTAGAGAATCAGGCACTTGGAACTCCCAAAGTTTTGAAGCTTGGGGCTTGGGATTTGCAGTGGCCACAAAAAGTTGAAGAGAAATGGCCCCATGGCCCAAACTGCTACTTTCTGCGTTTGCCATTGCTCTTGTGTCAATGCCCTGTTTCCCATGAGCAGCTCCCAGCCAACTACTGAACACAACAAGGACATAAATAGAAGCTTATTCCTACAAGACATGCAACTCCCCTCACAGGTAACTCTGACCCAAGGACACCCCATCACCCACACCAGAACTTTCGTATTCAACCTTCTCTCCTCCCTTCATCCTTACAGGTATCAAAACTCCAAGCCTCCTCCCTTCACTCCCCTTTTCTTCTCATAGGTGTTTGCCACAATAAATATCTTGGACATCTAATTCCATTTTGTCATCTGCTCTAATAAGGACTGGAGTTAACACAATATTGAGAATAAAAATAATGAAGTACAGATATACAGCATAAAGCACCTTAGGAAAAATCCCAGTAGGCCCCATGTGGTAATGATGAAATTGTTTAAAGCAATGTCCTAAGCAACTTTCTGACCTCCAAGTCACAGCTCCCCCTTCTGTCTTCAGAGAAGATTTACCCAACATGGCGTCACTGCATCCTGAGATATGGTGGCCTTGACTCCTACCGTCATCCTGAAATCTGGTGGCATTGATTTCCAAGCTTTAAAAATCATTCCACTCACTTCTGTGGTGACTTATTCTCTGGTCTTTTTATCCTCACCTGAGTGGCCAGAATAGTGCTAACTCCATCAGTTCCTCTCAAACTTTGTTGCATGTTAGAAACACATTCCAATGTGGTTCTTGCCCCAGAGGTTCCCCTTTGGTTGTTCTGTGGTATGGCCTGAGCCTTGTATTTCAAAGTTCCCTGGGTGATTCTATTGGGCAGTCAAGATTAAGAACCACCACTCTGAGTTAAGCACAGAATTATTCTGTAAACCCACCCTCGAGTGCTTAGCTAACTCTGCAAAGCTCAGATAGAACTTTGTCAATTGAGGTAAAACATTGTCAATGAGCCAACAACATTGTAAAATTCAAATACTTACTGTGAGTGGCTGGAAGATGATGGATTTTCTCAAGCATGAATGTAAATATTCTACCAAATTGTAAAGCAGTATTTTATACCAATGTAGTCACAATATTGTGAGTCCATTCCATAAAGAAAGCAGGTCTGTGAGTATGGCTACACTTGATAGGCCCACAGCATCCCTTATTTGGATTCATATGCTATCAGGTGTGTTCAGAGGTAGCTAATTGAGTGTGCTGCCCTTTTATTCATGCAGAGAACAGAATTCTTGGCACAAATCTGGGAATATTGGCAGGAGCCTTTGGAAGCAGACTTCTGCCTTTCAGGAAGAGAGCTTCTGCCTGTCGCTGGTGAGGTCCATTCAGACCCTGTGTTTTCTCCCTGCAGAGCAAGGCCAGTTGTGACTGTGGATGCCCAGCTTCTGCTGCACCCAGTGATTATCAATATTGACAATAAAACTTGCCAGATTCCAGAATCTTTGACACCTGTGGCCTGGTGAGTTCACCCAGTGCTTCTCAACCTCTAATGTGGATTCAGATCACCTTGGTATCTTATTTTAAAAAAATGCAATAGTTCAGTGCAGTAAGTTTGAAGTAGGGCCTGAAGCTTTGTATATCTAGAAAAAGCTTCAAGAGGCCACTGATGCTGCTTGTCTGTGGACCAAGTTTGAGTAGCAAGGAAGTAGTCTTTTAAATGCAACTATGACATGATGCCGACCTTTGGCTAGTTCTCTGATCTTTAGGCTCTGAAATGAGAAGCATCAAAACCTTTGGGAAAATTCCCAGTGAAACAAACCTTGGAGAGATCTCTTTGGCATACTAAAATATTAATCAAACTAAAAATAAAACAAAATACCTTATCTTGCATTTGCATATGTTTATGGATACCACTTTTCAGATATCTCTTATGTATCCTCCCATGCAACTTTTCTAATAGTCTAGCTTGGGTTAAATCATTGCTTCCTGTGCTGAATGCAGATGTCAGTTTTGTAACATAGCATGTACAACTAGATAGAAGGTAAACCTTACAAAAAAAGAGATTTTTTTTTTGTATGCCCTAACCTGAATTTTTGTGATCACGATCTCATCATTAGGAATAGTGGTAGAATCATGGCCCCTTGGCCTGGACCACAGGAGAATATTGCTTAGCCAGCTTTTCAAAGTGTCCCTTGTGAATTGTGCCAGTCACATGAAAGGAGGACAAAATGAAACTAGATTATATCAAAACCCAAGAAAATAACCCCTAGTATTTCAAGAGTAGGTCCTTAAGGGTCAGAGGTCATTATATTGGATTATGCCAACTGGGCTTATCTCCTGGAAAATCAGTAAATCCCTGAGGTGTTTGAGATTTGCCCTCATTTTCCAGGAGATGCGGTCTAACTCAGGCCAGTATGTTCAGTTTCTCAGAATGTCAGAATGTAGAACAGGCCAGTCATGACCCAAAGAAGTTATTTCTAGCCCGTGTTACTATGTTACTGATGGCCTTTCGACAGGAGTTCTTATCAAAGTCAACACTTGAGGATGGAGGGTGGGGGATCCAGAAGACCCCGAAGAATTCTTCCAAAAACATCCTGTTGCTGGGAGCTCCTGTAGCGGGCAGGCCTGTCCTCTCCCTTAACTGCTTTTGAAAGTAGTTGGGAAATGCCCTGAGCACATTTTTAAATGGTTTAAACCATAAAATAGTATAATGAAAACCTGATCTGAGAAAATATGTGAACGAGCCAGCACTTTTCCTTAGCCTGGCATGATTAAATGAACATTAAATGAACTGTGAGTGCTACTTGAGTGTGAGTATTAAAACTTCAATATCCCCATGTAGTCTTCTCTAACCCTGTGGATTTCTAGAAGGAATTCCTTCAACATGGACAGCACACTCTGGTATAGAATGTGGTAGTTTTGAACAAGATAAATTTTTTTTCCTAAGGACTTTTAGTTCCATGGATAGTTTCCTTAAAATTTAAGTAGTTTTATGGAACCTGTTTGGTTTTACAGAAAGATTATTACTTTTAAACCAGAAAGTGTTCTTTTTGTGAGCAATTTTCCGATTGCATTAAGTCATTTTTATTAAGATGAGATGCGATTCTTATGTAGACGAATTATATTACATTCCTTTAAAGTTATTTATTTAATTCTATTGCACATGTTTCCTGAAAGGCATTTTATTCTCATTTGCAAAATTTATGAGTGGGCCTGTAATCCCAGATTAATCCCTCAGGAGGCTGAGGCAGGAGGATTGTGAGTTCAAAGCCAGCCTCAGCAAAAGTGAGGCACTAAGCAACTCAGTGAGTCCCTGTCTCTAAATAAAATACAAAAACAGGGCTGGGATGTGGCTCAGTGGTCAAGTGCCTCTGAGCTCAATCTCTGGTACCAAAAAAAAAAAAAAAAAAAATCTGAATGGTACCTCAGAGTATAAAAAATATAGAGAGAACAGTTGTTTTAGTATACAATGTGTCTCTCTCATTCTTTATAGTTATTGTTATTATTCTGATAATTTAGCATAGTTTTTTCAAAGCAATTGAAAGGCCTCTGTGAATAACCTTTTACTGTAGATCTGAAATGGTTCTTCACTTTCATCAATATAGATTTGTCTTTCCTTTTTTTTTTTTGGCACTGGTAATTGAATCCAGGGGCACTCTACCACTGACCTACAACCCCACACCTTTTTATTTTTAATTTGTACAGGGGTTCATTAAGTTGCTTAGAACCTTGCTACATTGCTGAGGCTGGCCCCAAATTTATGATCCTCCTGCCTCAGCCTCCTGAGTTGCTGGGATCATAGGCATACAGGCATGTATAACCAAACCCAGCTTATTGTAGATTTCTGTCTTTCAATTGGCTGTGTAGCTTTATAAGATAACTGCTATTGGCTTTCTAAGTTAGAAAAAGAAAAGGAAATCCAACTCATTAAATATCAGCATAATTATTTTTAACAAATTAGAAAAAAACTAGTGGAAATTTGCATTTTATAAATGCAAAATTAACTAGTCAATTTACCAATCTGGGAAAAAACAAACAAAAAGCCTTTCCAGATTTAAGTAACTTTATGTAAAATCTAATATTTGCCATCATCAAAAAAGGATTGAATTGTGAGAGTGAAAAATGAATTGTTTTGTGTTTTTAAATCAAGTTTCATATTGATTTCATTTTCTTCTCATCATACATGGATAGCTATGAGCAGACTCATATCACAGGATCATTATTCCAACTGTGCATAGGTGGCAATTAGTATGAGGATTGTGTCTTGTCCTGACCATATCAGAAGCACTGTCTGTGAACAGTTTCATTTAGATTTATGTGATGAGGGGTCTGGATTGATTTCATGGTTGTTGTTCCAATCAGACCTATTCAGAATAATGGGCCATGCCGAATATGATCATAAATTCAATAATGGTTCACAGCTTTTCCTGACAACCCAAGTATACTTTATAACTATGTACTAACCTGCAAGTGGTCCTAATTCTACGGTATATAAAACACATGATGTCTGTGCATGGATCTGTATATAACAGATTTTTTTTCTGTGTTTTAGATGAATATGCCAGTCCACTGCTAAACTAGTTTGAGGTTTTTCTCTTTAGATTAGCACAGAGTTCTTAGAAACTTGTGACAAAGTTTTTTTTCTGCTAAAGACATCTTTAAAACAACAGGTTTTAAAGATGCTGTTGTCAGTAATTCAGTAAGTTGTATAGTGGTTATATTAAGCTTCATGAAAAATGTGAGTCATCCAGTTGTTAATGATATTGAAGGAACAGAAAGAGGAAACTAAGAAATATAGACGGAGACTAACATATAATCCATAAATCAACAGTAACCCTTCAGTTGATAACCTCATTTACCAAATACCTTCTCACAGAGTGGAAATAATGTCTACTTTCATAGCTTTAATTTCTTCCTTTTCCAAAAATCTATATTGCTTTTGAACGGTTCGTATTAAACAAAACACTATCTCCAAAATTGTTTTAATTTACACATGTCGATCATTTCATTACAAATATGAATTTATCTTCTAAAAGCTAATGAGCTTTGTCTATGCAGAATAATGATAAATAGAATAAAGGTCAATAGATGACTTTAACAAAAAAGTTGTGCACAGAAAAAAATTCCATTTTTGGAAGCCGGACCTGCTACAAAATTTAAAGATGTGATTAACTAGTCATTGTCCTTGAATACTTCTAATTGAAGTAGAAGTGCACCGGAATTTGTGATTTCTCTGGGGAAGTGGTATAAACACTTGTAATGGCATAGACATCTCGGGAAACTTTTGACTTAATGGTATGTGGCGAATTATTTACCCTGAAGGGAGACATTGACTGGGGTCACAGAGATAGATGAATCCCAGATGTGACACATTTTCATTATGTTTGACACAGGAAGCCGACATATAATTAAAGTATGATTGGGGCTTATTTATTTTTTTTGAATTCTGTGGAAATATTTAAATCATGCTGTAGTATTTTGTTGGTAAAATCTTTAAGACTGTCATTAAATCATAATAAGTATTTTCTTATATTTTTTACTTCCTTTGAAATGTGAAAAGGCTCCATCTTTCATGCTATTAGTTAGAACTTAAGAATTTTTCCAAGAGGAAGGTAAGAACATTCAACAAACTCAGGAGGAGAAAATGGGATGTTTCTCGTTCCCGCTGTGGTCACAGACCAGGGCCAAGTGCAGGTCATCCCAGAAGCCAGAGCAAGATATTTCCTTGGATTAGGATTCAGGCAGGTTCATGGCAAAACTGTAGAGTGTCTTCCATGTACATCTGTCCTCTCATCGCTGTCTTCATAGAAAACAACAACAACAAATATATATATATATATATATATATATATATATATATATATATATATGAGAGAGAGAGAGAGAATTTTTTAATATTTATTTATTTATTTTAGTTTTCAGTGGATGCACCATCTTTGTTTTATTTTTATGTGGTGCTGAGGATCGAACCCAGTGCCCCGGGCATGCCAGGCGAGCGCGTTACCATTTGAGCCATATCCCCAGCCCAATAGCCTATATATTGTGCCTACCTAGCTAGACAGCAGCCTGAAGCTCCTTATTTTCTTTCTCTTGTCCTCCTTTTTCTTTTCCCTCTACTGCCAGTCTTACCCCGCATCTAGCATGCTACCACCAAGTTCCAGTCTTTCCAAGCAGAGTGGGTGATGTAGGTTAAGCAGAGTGTGCTATTCTATGCTTTTTAGGATTAAATTCACACTATTTAGCATGACTTCAAAGCCCTGTTTCCCATCATTCCACCAAGTCAGCTGTGCCTCCTCCAACTTCCATACCTTGCTGGATGCTGTAACCACACTGGATCTTTCAGTGTTGCAGATGGGGCCATGTTCCTACTAATCTAGGCTTTGCCATTACTATCCACCACTGTCCTGCCTTGTTCTTCACTCCATTGCATATGAAAGATATTTATATGTATCCACTGAATAAAAGCTGCCGGGTATTAGTTGATCAATTGTTAAATCAGTTGAACTCTAGTAATTTTTTCAAATATTACTTTCCTATGGCCAGTTACCTGTCTTAATTGTATTGGTGTTGTGGCAGACTTGTGGGAAACGTGTGTGTGTGTGTGTGTGTGTGTGTGTACCATTAAAAATATAAAGGGAAAATTATGTGTTTGTTTTAATGGGGGAAAAGGATAGGAAGATTTCTACTTCAGATTCAAAACTGTATTAACCAATCAATTATTGACTATTTTTTTATAGCTTTTCTTTAAGAGTATGTGCATCTGTAGCAGGTCAGAGCATTTCAAACACAATAGGTGAGTATACTCCTGTACTGTACCAAGAAAACTGAACAGTAATCATCTCTCTGCATAGACTATACATAGATTATATAAAACTAAAGATCCCTTACTCAACACCCAGATTTCTATTGCACTTTTGGAGACTTGTACATAATATTACTTCAATAACTGTTATTACTATTATGTATAAAGTATATAATTGTGAGGAAAATGACAATCTGTAAAACATTACAAAAAAAATTTGATCTTGGAGAATACTTTGTAACTTTGTTGTTCAGTTCATGTATGTATCTGATCTCAGCTAATTAGAAAAAAAATATTTCCTGAATAAGCAATTTAAAATAAGAATTCGTATCTGAATACTTTTCCTCCCCTGATTCTATTCAGCCCTGACAGCTGAGGTGCAGTTAGACTCCCTGAAACAGAAAGGAGCCATTAAAAGAACACTCTTCCTGGGTAACCATCAACCCCATCTCCTCTTCCCTCTGGTGATAAAGCGTCAGAAATCCCTCCAGTGCCAGGATTTTGTCGTTTACCTTCGAGTAAGTGTTGCAGAAATCATTTTCGTGGCCTCTCACATGCAAATCTAAATTCCAGTCATTTTCCCCCATGTAGTCATCCTATTTGTCTCCAGAGATCCCCATCTATTTTCATTTTCATAGAAGGAAACTTCAAGGTTGAATACTCTTCCTGACCCTGACTTCAACTAACCTAATGATCTGTTGCTCTTAATTTCTAAGGCTTCTTTCTGTTTTGAACAAAATCTTGATAACAGCACTCAACTCAGGTGGTTTTCATTTCTAAGTGCCTCTCCTCTAAAGATCATAAAAGTTCAATACAATTTATTTGAGTTTTTATCCAATGCAAGTATGTCATGTTGTTAGATTTTTATCAGTATGCATTTCAAAGCCAACTTAGGAAAACATTAGGCATTCAAGGCTTTTATTAAAAGTAATTTATAATTATGGTTTTTAAAAGTAATATGTTTTTACAACTCTAAAACCTGCCATGAAATTTGAAAAGTCCAAATATTTATAACGCAAGTATCGACCTTTACCTTGCCAGTGGTTGGGTGATGGTCATTTATTCTCATTTCTTCTCCCATAAGGGACTGGTTAGCAAGAGGAACCCTAGGGAAGACCAGAGATTCACAGCCACATTCACACGTGAAAAGCCAGGCATGACTCACACAGCTTACTGTGGCCTTAAATGGCACAAATAAAGGGTGACAGGCCCGATGTGTGCTTGCTACTGGGTGTTTAGCCTCTCCTTGGAAGAATTCTGTGCCTTTTATCAAGGGAACATGAAATGTGCTGAAGATGTTTTGAAGTTCATGCAAGCCAGGCCTTAAAGAAATAATAAGGGAAGAAGAGAATCAAGATGTTTTTTTTCCCCTGAGCCTAAGAGTACTCATAAATTATGGCAATCTCCTGAAAACAAAAATCCCAATTCTTGATGGTTTTCATTGCATTTACAGTATATAAGTGTAATCTTTTGCTTTACAACTTGACTGATTTTGTGTGAGTTGTTGACAATCTAGAGATCCCAAAGTTTCCCTCTAGAAGCACATGTTGGTGAAGCTGGGGCTCTAAATGATTGCATCACTGAACATAAACTAACTACGCTAGCTACTATATACCACATAAATCAGCATGTGTCTAAACCTTTTGCCGTGGTCGTTGCTCTATCAGTCACTTTCACTGAGCAAAGTCGAGCGTTGCCTGCCTTTTGCAGACCAACATCTTGCAGCTATTTCACGGAGCCTCTCTTGAGCTTGTGGTTATTTTTCCTAGGATGAAACAGAATTCCGAGATAAATTATCTCCAATCAATATTAGTTTGAATTACAGCTTGGATGAATCCACCTTTAAAGAAGGCCTGGAAGTGAACCCAATACTAAACCACTACAGGGACAATGTCGTTACTGAACAGGTATGTCCTCGATGAACTTTGGTGGCACTTTTGACAGGTAACCTCTGGGGGGGTGCGGGTTCCTGTGACCTGAGATGAAGGCTGGCCCCTGATGTTTTCTTTCCTGTATATAGTTATGCAACATTTGGGAGGTTTTTTTTCTTTTTTCTAAGAGTTTTTTCTAACATGTTTCCTGAAACACCGCATCCTGATGTTTTCTGAAGCCCCTCCCCTTATGCAACCAAGATTTAATTTGTTCAAAATGTGGCAGTAATAGAAGCAACACAGCCTATAATACTCAAAACAATGACACATATCATACTTGACTGACATTTCAAAATGAATTGGAATTAGACAACAAGGTAAACTAGCCCATGTTGAGAGGTCACCTCATAACCTAGGGTACAGGACTGGGTAGAATTGGACATCATGAGATAAAAGCTTTGGTTTAATTTTTGGAATTGCTTGGAATTTTCAAGAGAAAGGATATGATTCAGGCTTTCCCAGATTATTCCTGATGTGTGGTTTGTACAATACAGGCTCACATCCTGGTGGACTGTGGAGAAGATAATCTGTGTGTTCCTGACTTGAAGCTGTCGGCTAGACCGTGAGTTTAAATAAATAAATGTGTGCATTCTATCTAATGAAATACAGGTGTTTATTTAAAGTTTCTCTGGATAAGGTACACACTTCCAACTAGGGAAAAAAAAAAGCAACTTACTTGAAATTCTTGAGTTTGGCAACACTTTGGGTTATCCTGGGGTTTGGTTATTTCTTTGCCATTGGCGTCAAATGACACTGAGATTTTGCCTGAGCTATTTCGTCTTTCAACAAAAGTTAAAAAAAAAACAATGTTTTTTGTTAAAAGTAAACTCACATACAGGGTGGCTGGGGTTATATTTACTTGCCTGAGTCAAGTGGGCAAAGCATTCAGAGAGGGGGTTCTATCTACACCTTAACCAAACTGGTTTTCACAGCATGCATGGCTCAAAGCCATCCTTAAAAGTGTCAAAACAAAATTCATTTTAACTTGCTGGAAAAAAAGGAACTTAAAATGCACAGAAGGGAGTAAAGCATAAGATGTCAGAAAGTCAAATAAGAATCAAAGGGCTTCCTAGTTGTCAGTAACTGGGGCCCCAGACTCCAGCATCTGTAATTTCAGAAAGAATTCAGACTGAGATATAAAACATCCTCTGGTAGCAAAAGCAGATTTGTGCTCCTTCCTCTCCCAGAAACTATGGTTACTGCCATAGTTTGGAATCTGTATGGTAATTTCTCAAGGGAACTTTGCCCAAACTTCATAATTTACCAAGTGTCAAAAGCAATGGATTTGAGTGAAGGTCAAAAGTGGAAGAGTCATTTCTAAATGTTGGTTTGATTTGGAGTTCAAAGTGAATTAAGGTTCTTCAAAATCCTTCAAAACCTTCTATCAGCCATTTAGGATCCTGTTTGATCTGCCCGTTTCTTCCTTTTTATCATAAGTGTGTCATGTCCCTTCTTACTTTCTAAACCATCTCTCTTTTTTCTCATAACCTATTTTCTTCCTAATATATGTTTTCAGCAGTGTTCTGAAGAGGCTTAATTCTGGCTTTTAAGCCAAATGTTAATTTTGCAGAACTTTTTGCTAGCAGGTTGCTAAGTATATTGGTAGCTTGGAATTAACTACAGTGAGACGATTTATACCATTGGAATCCACAAATGCTATAAATTAGTTTTCTTTGGTTTGAGATCTGGTTGTCAAACATTCCCAGCACCCCACTGGGTGTTTTTCTGCTATTCCCAACCAGACACAGTTCTCCTGACTCTTCCTGCCACTCCTTCCTGATGATCTATCTTCTTTGTTGAAGTTCTAGTTTAGTATTTGCTCTGTTCCTTTTCCCTCCTAAATTATTTTAAAAGAAAATCCATGAAGTCAGAGAAATAGAATAAACTAATCATTCTTCCTAAAACTACATTTTTTTTTTAGAGATAAGCACCAGATTATCATTGGAGATGAAAATCACCTTATGCTCATAATAAACGCAAGAAATGAAGGGGAGGGGGCCTATGAAGCGGAACTCTTTGTAATGATACCAGAAGAGGCGGATTATGTTGGCATTGAACGTAACAACAAGGTAATGCCTGAAAATTATTTGAAGTAAGGAGCTGGGTATGCTTTCAAATTCACATAATGTTAAGTAGGGTCATCAAGCCTGAGTGAGTTTCTTCCTAACTGAGGGAGAACAAAATGGTACCTTGCTCTGTCAAATCATGGTAGGATGAAGGGTTTACACTGTGGTAATGTCTGTCTTTGCCACAGTACAAAGGTAAGTTTGCCAAAGACTGAAAGCTGAAGCAAGGAAGAGAACAGAGCTGGACAAATGGTAGATCAGCTAATATCCCAGGCTAACTCCCCATTCTTGTGGGATTTTCAAGGTTTGTTTTGAGTTCCTTTTAGTTCCCAGCAGGTCACTAAAGCCTGGTTTTGATTATTGGTTGGGGGAAAAGGTCCAGCCAATCTTGCTGAGCACTGATAACAACCTGGACAGGAATTGGAAAGGAAACTAGTAAATTTTTCTTTCTTCTTGGTCCACTTTGGGATTGTGACCAGGAAAAAAAAAACCTGTTTCTATGTTCTTGTGTTTGTTAAAATGACACTAATGCTATTTATCCTCTTTACATTCGTTATCAGAACATGAAGTTTCCCACCTCAATATATCCTCTGCTCCTACAGTGTTCTTAATCACTTGGTCTAGAAAACCATTATGAATTCATTATAAATTAAGAGTCCCTCAGTTTCAGAAGTATACAAAACTCACAATTGAGAGTAGAGACCAAGTTCCACATTTCTTTCAATAGGAACAGGCACATCATAGGCACTCCTTAAATACTTGTTGAAGGATTTATTTAACTAAAGTTTATTAAATGTCTTGCTGGTTTCCAAATACTGAAACCACTAGGAGTTCTAATGATTTTTTTTCTAATGATTAAGGAGTTCTAATAATTTAATAAAAAGGGATTCCTCTGTTTTGATATTGCTATTTTAAAGCCATTTTAATACTTAGGGAATATGAAACACTCTGTTAGCACTTCTAGTTTCAGGAATTTTGTTTTAATTAAATTATCTTTTCCCTGTAAAAGAAAAGAAGAATCCAGATGAAAAAGAATCAAGTATCTTTGACTCATTTAAAATTATTATGAGTTTCAATGGAAGAAATTCATAGAACAAATATCTCCAAGTTCATCAAGTTGTATCCATTGAATATGTATAGCTTTGGTTGTGTCAATCATACCTCAATAAAGGAGTTTTAAAAAATGGTCCAAATTTTTTCTCTTTTCCATGTCAGCAATGAGACTAGGAAGAGGAATATTCATCCCATTTCTTTTCAGAAGTGTATGAAGCTGTACAACCTGTTCCTTCCTGTCCCCATTTCAAACATGAAAATCAATTTGTCCCCTCATTTCTCCAGTGAATGGCCTATAATCATTTCATTTTCTTCTTCCTCTAGTTACGTGATTTTCCTTACTCATTTCTCCATTAAAGTTACTTCAAGATAAGAAAATATGAGAATAAATGGAGCACTTTTATGTATGCTTATAAAGATGGTGTTTGATGACCATTTTGAGTTGAAAACTATCATCGTGTAACAAACCTCTACAAAGAAAGAAAAATCATCTATAAATACTTATATGCAAATAATATGTGAGCAAATTACAAACATGAAGCTCAAGTGTGATATTTTTTTAAATGTTCCAGAGCTCCACTCACTTTGTTTTGATTCCCTTTGTGTCATTCCACCCCTGACTTCATTAAACAAAACATCCATGTTCTTTTAGCAAAACTTTCAGCTGACTGTTCCCTTGGTTGCAATGGAAAACCTGGGAGAGGGCTTATCACTCTGTGGTTGGCTGTAAATAATACCATCGACCTTATCCGTCATCTCAAATGAACCCTTAGCAAATTTTTCTCTCCATCAATTTCCCTTGGGCCAAGATTTTTACTCAGTCTTTGAATTTTACAAGACTAAGCCACATTCTGTTTCCTTCTTTGTTTTTAATACAGTTTGAGGTTTGTGAACCTTTTCATTTAAATGCAGTTTAGGTTTTGTTTTTTTAGTAAAACATTCTCTTAAGGGGAAAAGTATTAGGAATTATCTGATTGTATATTTGGGAGTTTTATTGTTGTTCTTGAAAACGTTCATCTTTTAGATGCTGATTATTACTTTCTCTAGAAACATGAATTGAGCCAACCTATACACTTTCTTTCATTGATTTTTCTTCTAAATTTTTCTAGGAATAAAGGCCTATGTGCCTTATTATTGTTGTTATAATAAAATATGTGTGAGGTCCGATTTACCATTTTCACCATCCGCAGTGTGCAATCCGGTGGCTTAGGTTCACACTGCTGTACACCCATCACAGTTTCCAGTTCCAGAACTTTTCATTATCCCAAACTGAAACTCTGTCTTCATTACAGTCCCATTACCCTTTTTTCCCATACCCTAGGAACCACTCTTCTTTCTGTCTCTACAAAGCCCCTTCTGTTCTAGGTAGTTCATACACATCTTCACTTAAATCTCTCCAAGCACCTCACCTTCAGCCTGTCCCTAACTAGACTTTTGTCTTCCCACCACACACTCCTCCTGTATTTCTATCTCAGAGAATGGCAGCAGTAGCCACCCAATTTCCAAAAGCCTAAAGCCAGTCCTTCATTTCTTAGTCCATATTCCACCTCTCCATCCACTGGCACTGACTCTGCCTTCCTCCCAGTCGGCATGACCCATTAACCAGATTTTTCCAACAGTCTCCTAATTCATGTTCCCATCTGCCTGATACCAGTCCCTTCACTACAGAGAAAACCATCTTGTTCAAATGCACATCTGACCATGTCACTCTCTGACTTGAAATCTTAACCAGTTCCCTGTTGTTTGGGGAATAAGATCCAAATCCTTCACATGACTTCTGAAGCTATTCATACTGCCACCCCAGCTTACCTCTTTAGCCTCACCATGGCTTACTGGTTCTTTCTGCTCACCTAACTTACCTCTCTTTACTCATCCTTCAGACACTGATAATAATTGAGATGTACTAATAACTGAGACTTAATAATAATTGAGGTTGCTAATATTTATTAACAGTGGCTATGGGCTAGATACTGTTTGGAGCTCTTGTAGGTATATAATTTATTCAAGCCCCATAACAACCTTATAGAGAAACTGCTCTCATGATCCCTGTTTTTTAGATAAGGAGAAATTAAGTAGCATGCCCAAGATTACTTGATCTAGCAGAATCAAGATTCAAATCTCACCTGTCTAACCACTGGCAAGCATTGTCCCCCTCAACTTAAATGCCACCCCCACCAGGACATCTCCAATTGCTCAAATACATGTGTATGTTCTCCTTTATCATGATTTATTTCTCCTGTTATAAAATTTACCAGCTCCTACATAATAATATGTTTCCATTGCTTGTTATAATGGCTGGTAATTTACTTGCTACCATTATAATATTAATTAGAAATTCAATGAGGGCAAAAGATCTTATCTATCAAAACCTGATAAATAGCTGGTCCACAGTAAATACTTTTAGTGGATGAATATGTGAGTGAATCATACTTTAAGAGCTATAAACAGATTAGAACCAAAATGTCCCTGGAACTGCTGACAAAAATAATCTAGAAATATCTAGAAAAACAATCATTGTTTCTCTCGTAGAAAGGAAATAAAGGTTAAAAAAAGACAGAGGGTGGAGGGGATGTGGGAGTGAGAAAAACCTTTGATTTATTTCAAATAACTATTTCTAGAAAGCTGGGAAAATGTCCTCATTTATCCTTTAACGCTTAGATAAGATGAAAAAATATTTTCTATAGAAACTAAATCCTTGAATTATATTCAAGGGACATATGGGCACTTGTGAAAGCTTTTTTTTCTGTCTTCGTGTCTGAGTTAATAATCTCAACATGAAACATCTCTGTGTAATTAGGATTAGTTATGGGATTTTAAGAAGTTGAATACTTGCTAAATCAAACTTTAGAAAAGAGAAGATGACCAGCTTTTGGAAAATATGCTTTTTGGTTCCTTCAGCGTAACTAACATGTCATTCAGGGTATTTGGAGCGAGCGTGTGTTAAATGTGCTTCCAAATGTCAGTGATTCACTCCTTTCCCTTTAGTTAAGACTGTGTGTGTTGAAGTCTCAAAGTGTGTGATTTGCCTAGGGAATTCTCTATGTGGATGTCTAGAATTTAGAGTTTGTTGTTTTGATTTGGGTTTGGATTTGGGGTTTTTCATTACTAAAGTAGAAAGAAAGAAATAGAGGATCTTTTCCAATACTTTTACTTGAAAATTTCACATTTCTTCCTTCCATAAAATTTCAACACTTCTGATAGATAAAGGACCATCTTGGTGGAAATCATCTCCAGGACAGAAATCCCCAAAAGGGTGATCCATTGTAAAAAATAATCATATTGCAAGGTTATCTTTGGGAATTGATGACATGTAATAGTTAGAGCAAGATAATGGATTAGTATAAGTAGCTATCATCCAATGGAGAGCAGGGGCATAGGCCAGTAGGTTCCAGATTATAGAAAAAGAGTCAGGATGAGAGTCGAGGGAGGGATTTCTAGGCAGCTGGGAGTAGCATGAGGACAGGAAGTAGAGGTGGGAGGAGCAGAAGGCAGCAAAGATAAACTCCTTTTACCTCCCCTTCTCTAGGGTAGAGTTCTTCCAAGTTGACTTTTATAAACTCTAATCAAAACAGGATATAGGGAGAAGCAAAGAGATTGGAATTATACTAGTTAAGTATAAAAGTCTTCTCTTTGCATATTTGGAGTATTGAACAAAATTAACTCTAGACAAGACCATGATGGGTAGAAATTTGTATTCAAGGAAATTCTCTTGCAAATGTTCATCAAGTCTTGTGATGAACCATACATGTTACTGGATTTCACTTTTGCCAGATTAACATAAGGAATGTCTGTTTATTCATGCCCTGAGTTTAACATTAACATCAGTGAAAATAAAGTCCAAAATATTCACGTGAATATGAGCATTGTGTTCCTCGGTGAAGCCCATGTTTACCATTCAACACATTTTCTTCTAAAATTTTACTTTCCCCTTTTTCTCTCAGATTTCTTCTGAGTCAGTGGTCACAGATTAATTTCTGTGCAGCCCTTCTCACACAGGTGTTTGAAATCAAGGGCAGCTCCCAGGCCCCACATGCTTCATGTCCGGGATGTAATTTATTCTGCCCCTTGAAATCCAAGCTGGTGTTCTTTCCCGTTGTAGGTACTGCGGCCACTGAGCTGTGAGTACAAGATGGAAAATGTGACCAGGATGGTGGTGTGTGACCTTGGGAACCCTATGGCGGCTGGAACAAATGTAAGAGAAAACCAGCAGAATGTACCAATTTCCGTCGAATTGAATTTTACAGAGAAATCGTACTCCCCCATTAGCACTCATCAATTAGGTTGGAAATTACCAAGGTGGAAGAATTTAGCACTAGAACCATAGACTGATGATCACAGTTCAAAAATACAAAAAGATGTTGACTTTTACAGGGTTTCTTTTTAGACTTTACATTTATGAGTCTTTTTCAGCAAATCTATGAAGATGTTCTTACTAGATTTTTTTCCTTTAATATTTTTTTAATTTTATAAAGACTTTCCCCCTTGAATTAAAAAATAAATAAAATGTACAGGGGGGGGACTTAAAATAACTTAATTTTAGCAAAAAAAGTTTAACTATTATTTTCAGTATACCTTCCTATATGGATATTATTCACAGTATTCATATTTAAATTATTGCTATACTGTAGCTTTTGAATCAATTGTGCTAGGTATTCATTTGAAAAATAACACAGAAAATTGTTGATAGCAAGGGCAAAAAGGTTGATGACTTTCTCTAACATGCTTGTAAAAGAATAGGAGTTATTTGTTTTTCTCCTTCTCTTCCTTCTTTTACTTCTGTTTCCAGATTTAGGAACTTTCCACTCAGGACTACTTATGGACAATCAATTTCTTTTATGTAATCCTAGTTTAAGTCCACACATAGTAACTTCTTATAATAAATCTCATCATGGCAATTATATTATAAAGTCATAAGGCAGGAAAAAAAATTCTGAAATCTGAAAATACTACATAATTAAATCTTCCATAAACTGAGCTAACATATTCTTGGATTTAAAATTAGTGTTCATATTTATCAATGAAATGGTTTGTTTGAAAAATCTTATGAAAAGTTATAATTATATGTAGGTTTGTATTCAAGTGACTTCTCCATGGATTCTAAAGAGTGCTGCTCCTCTGGAAATCCTTTTAAAGGGAGCTCTGCAGTCACTAAGAGCATCCTGTCCTTCCCTAGGAGATCTAGGCACACACGGAGAAGCCTTCCAGTAAATAAATCTTTTAGGCCAATGCTTCACAAAATTACCTGAGCATGTGAAACTTTTTTCTCAAATAATATATATTCCCAATTTATACTTCAGGATATAAACAAGAATAATATAGACTATATAGACTGTACACTGATATTGGGTATTTTAAAAAAATGTACCGAGCTGTAGTCCAGTAAACTTACTTCTTGGGTCAAAAAAATATTTAAGTGAAAGGTAAATTCCTCTAACAGATTACTGTTGGGTAATATGGATCGATTATCCTGTGTGTTATAAACCCATCCCTGGAGAAAGGGGGTACTTTTGTGTTCTTTTATTCAATTTTCCAAAACAACCCCATGAGTCAAGTATTCCTGCAATTTATGGATGAGGAGACTGGGGCACAAAGAAATCAAATGAATTACCCAAAGTCACACAGAAGTTGAAGACAGAACCTAGATTTAAACCAGGCCTAACCACAAAGACCTTACTCTGTCTGGTCTGCAAAACTGTGAGAGGATTTGGATAAAAACTAATGAAGAGCAGATGAGACTTTAAAATGACTCCATGGAAGAGAATGGGATGTCCAAACTGAGATATTAGAACATTTTTCACGATAATCCTTTTTAGTTAGAAGCTAATAAATTCTTTTGCCAGTTTTGAAGAAAAATATCCAACCACCCAATATGATTACCTAAGGACAAATGAAAATGAACTGACATGGTGCCATAGAGTTAGCATCTGTAGGTGTAGTCACTCTGTCCTTCTCCAGTATTGGTAAGTGTTAAATCTGGACTAGAGTTTGTATAAGGTCATTGATAACAGAGGATCGTCTTGGAGCAAAAACTGGCCACCAGTGTCATTCAAAAAGGAGGGTAAAAATGGCGGTGTGGTCTGAACCACAAATGTGTTTATGTGAAAGGATGTCAATCCATTTTACCAGCAAATAATCTTTAAAAGTCAGGGAAGTAAATTGTTTACATTCATTTATCTCTGAGTTCTCTAGTAGGAGAAACCTAATAGCTTTCTTATCTTACCCCTTAATGCCTTTAAACACATCAAATTTTATTGCATTCTGTTTTGTTATAAAAGACTTTGATTTATTTACTTCTTCATTTTGTACTTTTAAAAGACTCTCAGTAAATTGTAGTAAAATTCCAAATAGAAATGCAGCTCTAAATCTTTTTTTAAAAAAAAATCATAAATCACCAGGAATATTTATCTCAGTCCCAATATTTTCAAAAAATTAATTTCCAAGTGACTTTTAGCATAACAAAACACTCAGGGTAGTATTTAGAAGTTTTACTTCTGATTTTTAAATAGTAAAGTCATATTCCTTTAGTAGTTATAATAGAAAATAGTTCATGACAATAAGGTTCCTAACAACTCGCAAATTTTCTCTAATAAGAAAATGAAAAGAGAAAAAAGGAGGGTAGATCAAAAAAATTTTTGAAATGAATGTCCCGAGATCTGGTGTTAGGTATGAGTTAAGACCACATGTGCCTCTTATCAATATGACCTTACCATGCCTTGATTTGTCTTCATCCCTGTGAACTGCTCTATACTGAAGACCAACATGAAGCAGCCTCATTCACAATATTGTACAATTGCCATCATGGGTGTGTGCAAACAAGGGCACCCTCCCATCATTCTTTTAACAATTTTTACTGCATCCTTCTGTATGCCTCTTGCTAAACTAGAATCTGACAATATAAATATGAAAATACGCAATTTCCTTTCAATATGAAAATCTAAATTTGCAAAGTCATAGATTTGAGTTGTGGTAGAGTAGTACAAGGAGACCGAGAATAAAGAGGTAAAAATTCTTCCTGGCCTGGCCGATGACTACAGAACTTAGACAACAACTCTAATCCTGAGTTTTGAAGCCTAAGTAGGAGTTCTTCAAGTAGCAAAAGGCTTAAAAAAAATCTCTCAAAGAAAAGAGCATGAGCAATGGCCTGACAAAAAAAAAAAAATCACCCATTTGGAATTAGAAAGGACTTGCTTGTTACTGGAGCATGAGGGTGCACATGCTTTATAATTAAGATACATCTTGGTTTAAATACGGGCTTTTGCCACTTATCAGCTATGATACTTTGGGCAAGTCACAGAGAAATGGGGAAAAACCTACTTGTAGGAAGTTTTGAAGTAAGACACTGAGATGGTGTAAGTAAAGCTACTAGGATGGTGTTTAGCCCTTAGCACATTCCATAAAGTCCAGTGAAATAATGAGGATGATCTATGACCAAAATGATAATTTACTCTTAGAATTTTATTGATTCTCATTAATGTGTTTTTAGATTCGATTTTATTCTCATAGTATAGTAACTGTGATTCTGGAGTCATTATGCAAGGGTTTAAATTCCTGCTCTGTAGTTTATTGCTCTGCACCTGGAGCAAGACATCTCTTTAATCCTCAGATTGCTATTCATTTATAAAATGTCAACCACTGTACCTATCTCAGAGTGCTTGTCTTAATTACAGGACATGAGGCAAATAGGCATAGTACAGTGCTTGGAAGAATAATGTAATTTTGTAGACATGTTAACTATTATTCCAAATTCCTCATTTTACATTATTGTTTTCTCCATTTTTAAAATCTATTTTCTTTTTTAAAATTTTTTTAATATTTATTTTTTAGTTTTCAGTGGACACAACATCTTCATTTTATTTTTATGTGGTGCTGAGGATCGAACCCAGGGCCCCATGCATGCTAGGCGAGCGTGCTACCACCTGAGCCACATTCCCAGCCCCTATTTTTAAATTATAAAAATAATAGAGCAAAAAATAATAATAATAAGAGCAGTTTTAAAAAAAATTGGAAATAAAGGAGGAAAAAATGATCCATACAACCATAACCCTAACCTAACATATTGTTGTGGAATACTTCCCTCCAATACATCCCCACTCCCATGTGGTAATTTTTCCATGCATAGACTTTTTAAAACAAGTTACACAAAGAACTTTGTAACTTTTATTCTTTGTTGTTCACTATTACGTCAACAGCATCATCCACATTATTGCATTGACCTTATAGCTATAATTTAAACAACTATATAATGTCTATCAAACGGAAGCATCATAGATTTCTGAACCAATCCTCTCATATATTTGGGTTGATGCCAATAAATGCATTAGGGAGGTGACATAAAAAGAAGGGGTACAGGACAAAATATAGAGTGACCTGAATCTTCTGGACCCCTGAAGTCTGATTCCATGACTTCCTCTCAGCTCTCAGTCACCCAGGGCAGAAGCAGATAAAAGGATATTACAGAGACTAAGTCTCGATTTTTGGAGGAATTACTTAGGAAATATTTTCACATAATAACTTTGTGTCCTTTGTGTGTTCTGTTGTTGTTGTCATTGTTTTCAGTATTCTCTGGGCCTCCGGTTTGCAGTTCCACGTCTTGAGAAAACCAACATGAGCATTAACTTCGATCTCCAAATCAGAAGGTTAGACATTTCAATGCTCACATTATGGACAGCACTCATGAGCAGAGATTCATAGTGAAATATCTGCCACTTACAAGCTCTTTTATATGAAAAATTCTTCTGAAATCAGAACCTAGACTTTCACAGATCAGCTATTCTTCATTTTTCTCAAATTATTTCAGTTTTTTCAACATTTTGGTTTTGACACAGAGTCTGCATTTCATAGGCCTCATTATGAGATAATCAGATTTTGTCCTGGACACCCTTCACCTCACTTCCCCTCCACTTTCCCTCATTCCACACACATGACTTCTCCCTCCCCCACCACACCCCATAGTCACAGTGCAGCATCAGGTAATTACTGCAAATCTACAAAAAAGCATAGATTTTGCATGTGCAATCTTGAAATTGCCTGACATTTTCAGGATGAAGGAGTCTGTGATAGTTTACTTGGGAGCACAATGCAGGCAACAGAATATCATATTTTGGGGGCAGAGCCTTTTCCAGCAATGATAAACTGAGCCACCTAGATAGCCATCTCCCTTTTCTGAGGATGATCCTGTTCAAGAACTCAGCTGTAACTTTGTTCTTTCATTGTCTATTCTGTTTGCTCCTTCATGACCAAAAGTGGTAAGGAAGACCCACCGAGTAGTGAGGCATGCAGGTCAAGGCTTCCTGGCACTTCGACCCATTAGCTGGGAATGGAATCAGTTTAATGGCTCAAAATCCATATTAAAAGAAAAGGATCTAGGCATGGTTATACACATACAGGTACCTTGTGAAGTAGATAGGTATTTTCTTTTTGTGGTCTGTTTTAGTCAGCTACTACGTGACTGTGACTAAAAGAACCAACCAGAACAATTGTGGAGGAGAAAAAGTTTCTTTTGGGCCTCCCAGTTTTAGAGATCTCACTGCATAGACAGTAGCCCCCATTCCTTGGGACTCAACGTGAGGCAGGACATCATGGCAGAAGAGTAGTGGAGGGAAGCAGCTCACATGATGATCAGGAAGCAGAGAGAGACTCCACTTACCAGATACAAAATTTATACCACAAAGCCATGCCCCACCTCCTCCAGCCACACCCTACCTGCCTCAGTTACCACTCAGTTAACCCCCATCAGGGATTAATTCAATGGTTGGATTAAGGTTCTTATAATCCAATCATTTCTTCTCTAAACCTTCTTTCATTGTCTCACACATGAGCTTTTTGGTGGATACCTCACATCCAAACCATAATATGGTGTAAAGTTTTAAAACTTCAAAAAACTCTGGTATAGATGCACATATGTGCCTTCCATAGTTATAATTTGCTCAACGTTTTGAATCCCTGTTCTAATGATAGAAATGACTACAATTTGATGCTTAGAATTTGGTTCTCTAATAGCAATGCAATGTGGCTAATCTTTAAATTTATCTTAATATCTTTCAGGAAGTTCCATTAGCATGCGATAATTTTTAGAACAATTATTCTGTGCAAAAGATTACCTTTTAGTACTACATCAATGAAAGGTTTAGAGTTTTTTTAAATATATAAACTCTAGAAGAGTGTAGCATATTTTTAAAAATCTGCAACTTGCATCACAAACCACCCCTCCTCACACTTTGTGATAGATCTCTTGTGAGGAAGGTATTCTAACTTAACTTAGATATTCTTTTCTGACTTTACCTAGGTATTTCTTGAATTTAACTTAAATATTTTCTGCTGAATCTTAGAACATTTTTTATTTTCTCCAGATAGCAATGAGATGCAGATGAAATGAATGTATTCAAAAAATATCTCTTCATGTTACCAAAAGATTATTAAATCACTTTTTTATATTGGCAAAACAAAGTATTTCCAAAAAAGTTCAGATAGTTGTGAATATTTTCAGTTCGGAACTATTATGCTTGTATTACTGAGTTTACAGGGGAAAAGCGCCAAAGTGAAGGACCAACATCACTCTAGATATTCGCCTGAAGCTTCTATTTCTCTCCATCATTGCCTATGCCATTGATCCTACAGGAGCATGAAGCTTTATGTACTTGGGGAAGGATATGTCTCTCATAAAATGCATGGCCTTATTTAGGAAGAAAGTGCCAAGCAAATTCACTGATATTTCCTCCTTTCTCTTGATTGCAGTTATGAATGAAAGAATGGAAGCAAGCAATTTAACTGAAGAGGCAAAATACACTATATGATATTGTAAATGCCACATCCAAATCCATCTTGTAGAGCATCACTTAATTAATTCAATAATGAAATGTTGAATTGGACAGAAAATAGAAATGGATACATCTTTAACATCCCCTTTCATCTAACAATGGATCATAATTATATTTCATGTCTACTCATGACTATTTTAACATTATACTAAAAAATAAGAATGCAGATATGCAGAAAGAACTGGAACATAGATAAAACATCAAATTCTCAAAATATATATTATAGAGATAAAAGTGTTTGAGAATATTTTTAAAACTCAAATACTAAAAGTATTTAAGAGATGGACATTTATCTGCTTATGCTGGAAGGCTCTGAAGATGTAAATAAGAATTGAGAGGGTAGTTTTATATTCAGTTTAAGTGCATTTAAACCCCAAATAAATTAAACCAATGCTATGAAGTATGAACTCTTATAACCATATTTGATCACCATTACCTATGCCTAATTTCCTTTTCTACAAATAAAAAAAAGAGAAATGGGCTTTTATAAGTTAATAAGCTTAAAATATTTTCTATTAGCAAATATTTGAATTAACCGTCTTTCCACGCCCCTGATCTAAATGACATCAACATTTCCCTCCCTGGGTAGAGAGGTTCTCACACAGCAGTCCCCACATACAAACGGGGTTTTGCAATTATTCTTGATGTTACTTCCTAAGTAGTGGTGAAATGAACATTATATTGTCTTTGCTGACATCCCAAGGACCACAGAAAAATATAAAAAGAATGTTAGAAAATAGGAAACAGTGGGAAAAAGAAAATGGCATTTGGGTAACAAAGTAAAAAACATGTTTTTCTGTGGTTTATGCCATAAGACGTAGTCATGTAGAGGAAATCCATCCTTCCTTGCATAACTCAGCATTGTGGCAGTGATGGATTGCTTGTTTGAATGTAGCAGGGGTATTTGTGAGGGACACTTCCTTCCAGGAAGGTCAGAGAAACATCTAAGTTGTATATCAAACCTGGTTCCTTTATTACAAGGAGATCTTGTCAACTCCAGTGGTACTCAGTAGTCTGTGTCTCAGGGGATGATTCTGACTAATCTACCAGAGGGTTCGGACTCTGAATCTGCCATTGCTCTTGCTGCATCTTAAAACAGCCTCTAACAGCCTCATATTAGACTGAAACTCAAAGACAATTTCAACATTTGACTTTCATTTACATTTTCAGGGTATCATAGTGAATATGTTGTTCTTTAAACTAATTACCAACAAAACTCAATGGAATTATTATGTAATAGCTTAAATGATACTTTTTCATAATTCTGATTTACACTACTGCAAAGCAGTAATGAACTGGAAATAGAAAAAAAAAATCTGGCTAATCTGTGGAGCAAGGATATTTCAATTTCAAAACTAAAGAGTTACTCAGTACATTTGGGACCATAAAGTCTGCCACAAATAGAATTATTTGGTAATGATTTCTTGGTGGTTAGAAATTTGAATCCTGCCTTTGAAAGAAGAGGAGGAGAGGTGAGGAATGAAAAGAAAAGGTGTGATAATAGTTAAATGAATGGCCTGGAAACTGGAGTTCAAACGTCACTGAAAAAGTTCTTGTAGGCTCCTTCATTAGGTTAGCAGTGATGCTCCACTGCAAGAAATGCTGGCACCTGCCTGTTTATATCTGCTATGTGTATTTTCAGGGTAAATTGCCTTATCAGTACAGACAATGGGATCAGGACTTTGCAAAAGCATCATGGGAACAATTCTGTCTCTTTTTCCTTTGAAAGCAGGACTTCATCCTGTTCTTTCCAGCTCCCACATTTTGAGAGCTTCAAAATCTAGACAGAAACTTCCCCATTACCATCACCATGGCGTCAAATCTTGTCCCTTAAATCCAAGTGATGGGTAGTTTTATAATAAAACAGCAAAATTTAAAAAAAATTGTCACTGTTCAAAGAAATATCATATTAAATACACACTTTCTAGCTTGAGACTCTTGATGCTTTTCAGAAAGATCCATGTCACCTCTGAATGGCCTGTTTATGAAATGCCCAACTTCCTTGGGTCTCATTTCTCCTTGCCATTAGCCATGTTTCCAATTCACTCCCCACTCCTCTCCCAGACAGTGAGTATGCCATGAACATACACTTATTTTAACATTAACTTAAGTAATAAACCAAGAGGAAGATAAAATTGCTGCCAAAACAATGTATGGTATGAGGCATTCCAGAGCCAAACACAAATGCTTTTTCAATTAAGTGCTGCTCTGGATTATTCATGCCAGTTCCCCTCTTTATAAGCATGGAAAATCAGGAGTTGACTGTGTTGTCGTTTCCCATTTGATGGGCAGTGAACATGATGCTCAGAGATGTTAAGGAATTTGTCCAAGGTAGAAGCCAGAAAATGAACTCAGCTAAATGCCTCTTTGCTTTAGCCATTGAGACTAAAAAGTGTTGGCTTCTCTAGATCTGTATCGTATTTCCAGATAAAGTGTCTCCTTGTGGAAAGTTGTTTCCTTACTGTTGGTCATAAAAGATCTTAGCATTGCCTTGTACAAATGGTTATGATTTTGTAGAATGAATATACCATTGTTTTCTGAATGATCAGGTTAGGAATGTGTGTTGCTCTTGTGATCATCAGAATGTCTTTTAGGGTCATATAGTGTGTAACACACCTGAGGAAATATAAATTTAAATAATGTATCATTGTGTTTTAGTTCCAACAAGGACAACCCAGACAGCAATTTTGTGAATTTGCAGATCAACATCACTGCTGTAGCTCAAGTAGAAATAAGAGGGTAAGTAATAAACAAGACATAAAAATAATATAATAGCATGCAGTAGCAGTAGTGGTGGTATAGCTCCATGTATGTAAAGATTTATGATGAAATACTGGTAAAGATTATGTGGAGAGGCCGGGGATATATCTCAGTTGGTAGAGTGCTTGCCTCGCATTCACAAGACTCTGGGTTCAATTCCCAGCACCATATACACCCGCACCAAAAAAATTATATGAAATATTCCTAATGTATTAGAGATCATAATTTACTTTGTTACCAGTTTTTATTCTTTTCTACTCATCATTAACATTCTATCAGAAAATACAGTGAACTTTGTGTAATAATTAACTCTAAGTATATCAAAACATCAATGAATTCCCCAAACTGACAGTTCAGTAATCAAACTAAAAAAAAAAAAAAAAAAAAAAAACCAGTTGATGAGAAGCTAGATAAAATAGACAACTGACAACCATATGATTGCCTGAAAATAAAGTCACTTTTCAATAATTATTTTAGACACAGTGACAATCTATCACACATTGAGTTTAATAAATAACTCTCAGGTGCAAGGGTGGATGGAATGTACATTCTGTATCTTTCCCCTTTGGTCTTGTTCTTTAAGGAAGGTGCCAATAAGCAATCAACTGAGAGACAGGAGGAAAGTGGTCAATGGACTGCCCAAGTTCTGTTCTTGTACAAATATGGAATCCATTGATCTTGTTATGGTAATTCTGCTTTTTTCAGAACAATCAAGGACTTGGTTAAAAATGTCAACTGGTGTTTTGGACCAATCATCCTTGGGGTTCCAGAATACTGGTTCCCTTTCTTTTCCACAGATCCTGAGTGGTTTACACTCCTCCATGATAACAATGGATTTCTACATTTCCAGAGCCACTCTCCATGGGCCTTCTTATGGCTGTCCCATGGTGCTCTCACAGGGACCCTGCCCAGGTGTCTGGGTACCACTGAGCACCCCCCCAGTGGATTAGATGATGATGATGATGATAATAACATAATATTATTATCAATACTGCCCAACACTTATCACCATTTTCTGTGTGCTAGTCATGTATTATATCTTATTACATAGTAGAATCCTAGTACAAGTAAAGGAATTGTGGTACAAGAATTCAAAGGCTCTACAGGTAGAAAATAGCCAGAATATGTACATTGGCGACCCGTCTCCAGAGCTCATGCTCAGGAATGAGCATGCTGTCCTGATTATGAGACAGAGTTTTTTGGACCCTGTCTATAAAACTTATGTATGTATGCTCTCTGATTTTTGTATTCAAACCAATATTTTTATTTTTACCCATTTTTTGTGCACATGCTTGTAGTTCATTCACTTTAACTGCACAACAGTCTTACATTGTAAAAATAGAACATAATTAATTCACCCATTCTACTCGTGATGAAAATTTGGAACTTTTCTTTTCTCCTTTTTACAAACTTTTCCATGCATGTCTTCCAGTACACAATGGACGAATGTCAGCCAGGCGTTATGTTAAAAACTGAAATTTCAGGATCAGAGAGTTTACACCATTTAACTTTACTAAGTAATTGCAATCTCTTTTTCAAAATAGTTGTGTCAAGTTGCACTCCTACCATAAGTGTATGAGAGTTTTCATTGCTACACATTATCAGATAAAATGGTCCAGTTTTTAATTTTAAGCGATTGATGGATAAGAAATAACATGTAACTGAAAGTTTAATATGCAGCTCCCTATCCTTAAATGAAATTGAGATTTTTATAAGTTCATGTCTCTTAGTTATTCACATTCAGAAAAATTCTTGTTAATATTATGTACATATTTCTACTAAAAAGGATTGACTTTTCCTTGTCAATGCACAGAACTTTGTTTCTATTCAAAAATTTAGATGCTAATCTATTAATTACACATGTGCAAATATCTTTTCACAATTTATGGGGTCTGTGGGTTTTTTAAGTCACATCTACTTAGTTATAAATTACATACACTAAAATTCAGCCTTTTGGGAGTCCAGTTTGAAGAGCTATAAAACCATAAAAACTTTCAATATAGAACAGTATCATCACCCCAGTAATTCCTATAGATTCTTTTCTAGTCAGTCCTTCTCCTGCACCTAAACTCTGGGAATCTTGATCTATTTTTTTGTCACTATATTTCTACCATTTCAGAATGTACATAAATGGTCTCATTCATTCAGAGTGCACTTAGCATAATGATTTTGAGAAGCATCCATCTTCTCACCTGTATCAATAGTCTGCTTCTTTTTTCGCTGAGAGGTATTCCATTATATGATGTCCTGCAAGGTGTTTGTTATATGGTGAACATATAAGTTGTCTATAGTTTGGGGCTGTTAAGAATAAAGCTGCTATGAGCATTCACAGCCAGGTCTCTGTTGAGAATTTTGTTTTCACAAGTGGAATTACTGATTTGCACAGGATGTATATGTTTGTAAGAAATTGCACAACATTTTCCAGAAAGGATATGCCATTTCCATTTTGCATTCTCACTAGCAATGGATGAGAGTTCTATAGTCATGTTCATCCTAGCCACCATGTTTTGTTTGTTTATATTTAGTCACTCCCTGAGGCTTTATTTTCATTTGCTTAATGATTAGTTGTATTGAACATCCTTTCAATGCCTACTTGCAACTCTCTTTTTGATGAAGTGTCTCAAATTTTTTTCCTCATTTATTATGTGATTGTTTGTCTTCTTCTTACTGAGTTGTAGAAGTTCTTTACATATTCTAAATAGAAAATCATTCATCAGTTACATGTCCTGAAAACATTTTCTCCCAGTCTAAGGTATGGCTTTATATTTTCTTAGCTGTGTTCAAACAAAAATTTCTAAAGTTTTCATGAAATCCAGTTGATTAATTTTTTCACATTTTGTGCTCTTTGTATCCTGAGAAATATTCTGCCTTTCCAAAGTCACCAATATTTTTATCTTCTGTGTTTTCTACCAGAAGTTTTATAATCTTAGATTTTACATTTAGGTCTCTGATTAATTTTAAGTTAATTTTTGTATTTGGTGTGAGGTAAGAGCTGAAGATTGTCCATTAATTATGGATCCACCAAACAGATTGATCCATTGATGAGATTAAAGCCCTCATGATCCAATCATCTTCAAAAGACCCACATGTAAAAGCCTTGGAGATCAAGCCTTCATTATATGAGCTTTTGGGAGGGCATATTAGATCCAACCCATACAGTGCTATTATTTTCCTATAAGACTTGTTTCAGTAGCATTCTAAAATTTTGACATGTTGAATTTTCATTGTAAATCAATTCAAAATATTTTTAAATTTCTTTTATGATTTTTTCTTTAAATCATGAGTTGGCTCATGGGAAAAGATTTTGTTTGATTTAGATTTTTGGAGCTAATCTAAATGTTTTATTTTAATTGATTTCTGTTTCTGTTCTAGCTCTTGATGAGAAAAAAAAACACTGTTTTTAAAAGACAAGAAAACATAAGCAATTTTTTTACTATTGTATTTTTACTTTTTAAGGTATTGGGAATTAAACCCAGGGGAGCTCTACCTCTGAACTACATCCCCAGCCTCCTCTTTTTTAAAATTAATTTATTTAATTTTATTTCAATTTGTTATATATGACAGTAGAATGCTTTACAATTCATATTACACATATAGAGCACAATTTTTCATATCTCTGGTTGCATACAAAGTATATTCACACCATTCATGTCTTCTTACATATACTTAGGGTAATGATGTCTGTCTCATTCCACCATCTTTTCTACGCCCATCCTCCTTCCTTTCTCTCCTACCTATTTGCCCTATCTAGAGTTCATCTAATCCTCCCATGCTACACCTCCCAATCCCACTATGAGTCAGCCTCTTTATATCAGAGAAAACATTCAGCATTTGGTTTTGGGGGATTGGCTAACATCACTTAGCATTATCTTCTCCAGTTCCACCCATTTACCTGCAAATGCCATGATTTTATTCTCTTTCATTGCTGAGTAACATTCCACTGTGTACCACAGTTTCCTTATCCATTCATCCACTGAAGGGCATCTAGGTTGGTTCCACAATTTAGCTATTGTGAATTGTGCTGCTATAAACATTGATGTGGCTGTGTCCCTGAGGTATGCTGTTTTTAACTCCTTTGGGTATAGACGGAGCTGGGTCAAAAATGGTGGTTCAATTCCCAGTTTTCCAAGGAATCTCCATACTGCTTTCCAGATTGGCTGCACTAACTTGCAGTCCCACCAGCCTTTCCCCCCACATCCTCTACAATACTTATCGTTATTTGTATTGTTAACAGCTGCCGTTCTGACTGGAGTGAGATGAAACCTTAGAGTAGTTTTGATTTGCATTTCTCTAATTGCTAGAGATGTTGGACATTTTTCATATATTTTTTGATTGATTGTATATCCTCCTCTAAGAAGTGTCTTGGCCCATTTATTGATTGAGTTATTTGTTTTGGGGGGGGGTTGTTTTGTTTTGTTTTGTTTTTTGATGTTAAGGTTTTTGAGTGCTTTATATATCCTAGAGATTAGTGCTGTATCTGATGTGCTTGAGGTAAAGATTTGTTCCCATTCTGTAGGCTCTCTATTCACCTAATTGATTGTTTCTTTTGCTGAGAAGAAGCTTTTTAGTTTGAATCCATCCCATTTATTGACTCTTGGTTTTAAGTTTTTCACTAGAGGAGTGTTATTAAGGAAGCTTGGGCCTAATCCGACATGATAAAGATTTGGGCCTACTTTCTCTTCCAGTAGGCACAAGGTCTCTGGTTTAATTCCTAGGTCCTTGATCCACTTTGAGTTGCATTTTGTGCATGGTGAGAGATAGAAGTTTAATTTCATTTTATTTCATGTGGATTTCCAGTTTTTCCAGCACCATTTGTTGAAGAGGCTATCTTTTCTCCAATATATGTTTTTGGTGCCTTTGCCTAATATGAGATAACTGTAATTATGTGGGTTTGTCTCTGTGTCCTCTACTCTGTGTACCATTGGTCTACAGATACCAATACCATACTGTTTTTGTTACTGTTGCTCTGTAGTATAGTTTAAGGTCTGGTATAGTGATGCCACCTGCTTCACTCTTCTTGCTAAGGACTGTTTTGGCTATTCTGGGTCTCTTATTTTTCCAGATGAATTTCATGATTGCTTTTTCTATTTCTATGAACAATGTCATTGGGATTTTGATTGGGATTGCATTGAATCTGCATAGTGCTTTTAGTAGTATGATCATTTTGATCTTTCCATCTTCCAAGCTCTTCTTTAATTTAATTCTTTAGTGTTCTGTAGTTTTCATTGTAGAGGTCTTTCACCTCTTTTGTTAAGTTCATTCCCAAGTATTTTATTTTATTTTTTTGAGGCTACTATAAATAGGGTGATTTTCCTAGTTTCTCTTTCTGAGGATCTGTCACTGATTTACAGAAATGCCTTTGATTTATGGGTGTTGATTTTATATCCTGCTACTTTCCTGAATTCATTTATTAGTCCTAAAAGATTTCTGGTGGAATTTTTTGGGTTCCAGCACTCTCTTTTACACCTTTTTTGGAGACAGGGTCTCACTAAATTCCACAGCTGGCCTTGAACTAAGCAATGCTTCTGCCTCAGCCTCTTAAATTGCCGAGATTACAGGTGTTCACCACCATGCCTGGCACTATCTTATTTTTACATCTTTTCAAAATTTTCAGCTATTATATGTGAACTTCTATCTTGTTCTTTAAGCTTGGCTTAGCTTAATTTGGCTAACGCAAAAATAAGTGGGAAGTGTTTAGCAATTCCAAAATAAATTTAAAGTTGGGAAGTATTTTTATTTAATAAGTCATAACTCAATCTAAGGCTTAATGGAACTGTCTTTATTTTCATATATTTATTTTATGAGGTGCATTTCTGCCATCACTTACAGTAAAAATAAAAGAAGAAAATTTCTATTCAATTGTGCCAGTAATCCAAACAGTTTATTAAAGTTAGGTTTCTCACATGGGTACAGTTATTTTAATTGTTAGATTAAAGTCCAAAGTCTGTTCTCTAAAACAGTATTGAAGTTCTTTTGGATCACTTTATATAGTAAAACTCTTTCCTCTGAATATGCAGCAAAATATTTGTTCCAGTGTTTATTTCTTCAAGGAATGAACAGTTGCTATTCTAAACACCTTACATGTTCAATCTTCAGAAAAATTTTATTTTCTTTTGTCCAATAGTATTCATCTGAACATATTTTATCACTTGCTATCTTCTACAGTATTTTTTCCTTAATTTACTGTTGCTCTTACAGTTTAAAAAATAAACCAAAATGGATTTTGTTGAAGCTGAAAATTGTAGATAACTACTTCATTCATTTCGTAGCTAGATAACACCAACATTGTCTTTGGCCCAATTTATATGCCATTTGTTGGGACAAAGGATCAATTTAGCATAGCTCTGTGAGAAGTAAATTTGGCCACTAGAGACATCAAAACATATGTTGAGCTTATAAAAGTAAGACAAATTGCAGGATTTGTGAAATAATCAGAATTGGATGGGTTTGTATTAGGAACTATCATGATCTAACCAAGTTCTATATAGGATACTGTCCACAGCATTGTTCTGACAATAAATGAATGTCTTTGCTATTTGGAAGTAATAGGATTTCAAAACAGGGTTCACAACATATTATCGTAACTTCTGGACAGCATACACACTGTCAAAAACCTAGTTCCTTTATTCCAGAAAAACTTCATTTTAGGAAAATTAGGTTAATATAAAACCCATACCAAAAATGCTTATACCAATTTATTGAATTAACCCCAAACTGCAAACAACCCAAATGTCCTTCAACAGGTGAATGATAAATGAAGTGTGATACATCCATATCATAGAATACTATGAATTATTGAGACATGGACAACTTGAATGGGACTCAGAATTATACAGAGTGGAAAAAGCCAATCCCAAAAGGCTGCCTACTGTATGTTTCCGTTTACATAACATTCTTGAAATGACAGAATTGTAGAAATGGGGAACAGATTAGTGGATGTCAAGAGAGAAAGGGAGAAATGGGGACACATAGCCTATGAAAGGATATCTTTGTGGAAATAAAAATGTTCTGTATCTTAACTAAATCAATGTCAATATTCTGGTTGTGACATTACATACAATAGCACACCTTGGTTTTAGAAGATGTTACCATTGGAGGAGATTTATTTGTGGGTATAAGGGATTTTTTATATTATTTCTTATAAATTGCATGTCAATCTACATTATCTCGTTATGAAATTTAATTTTAAAAAAACGTATTCCTTGGGGCTGGGGATGTGGCTCAAGCGGTAGTGCGCTCGCCTGGCATGCGCGGGGTCCTGGATTCGATCCTCAGCACCACATAAAAATAAAATGAAGATGTTGTGTCCACCAAAAACTAAAAAATAAATATTAAAACAAATTCTCTCTCTTAAAAAAAAAAACCCATTCCTTGCTTCCAATTCCAGTCTGATATCCAATGCTACACAACGCTACAATTAACAGTACACCAGTCTTTTTACTAACTGAAAATCTCCAAGAATAATGCTCTAGCCTCTATTTTAGAAGGGAGGAATATTCAATAGATGTAGTTAGATTAGTGCACAGTCTGCTCATTCCAAGAAATTTAGATTATTGTATTTTTTCTTGATGATTTGCTTCCTTTTCTAAAAATCTTCACGTTGAAACAATAGTGTGTCACTGATTTACTTGGGACCCATTCTTTTCCATGGTTTCCCCAGCTTTTAATCAGTCTTCAATGGATAAATAAATAAACCATACTGTTATGACCCTTTTTAATGATTATTTTTCCTGTGCTCCACAATAAATTATATTTATTTATATATTTCTACTTAAGTTTTGTTACAGAACCCTGCTAGAAAGTTTAAGTTGTGTTTGCTAAATATGATTGCATCTTAGGGGCCCCTAAAATATACTGTATATTGGAACAGAATGGGTGAGCTGTAGTGCTCACCTGCAGCTCACCCATTATTCTCTGTATATCAGTTTTCCTTTTGTGTGTAAAATGAGAAGTTTTGATCAGATTGTCTCCATAGTACCTGTTAAGGTCTAAAAATTTGATTCTGTAATCCTAGAGAATTTATAACCAGTCCTATAGGATTAAAAACCATAAGAGCCAAAATTTCAGAGAAAATATATTCAGCTTCTGATCTATGTTTGTTCTGTTTGAAAAAAAAATTCCCAGAGATGCACAATGGATAATGAATGTTGAGCATAGACTCCCCTCTCTATTGCCAAGCTGAGAAGAAAGTAAAGATTTGGGTGGGGAAGCTGGCAAGGCCTTTGGGAATGGAACTCATGATCTCTGAGATTCTGTCTAATGAAAGCAACACACCATGTCCTGTGCTCTTCTCCCCATTACATCCCCAGGTTTGAGCATAATGTGATTTAACCAAATCAAGCAGGAAAAGAGAACACAGCATAATGACAAGAACAGGGCATGATGACAAGCCAATTTGAAGGAGTGATTTTTGAGGTGTCAGCACAGCAAAGCTGAGCCCTACACTTCTTACTTAACAGTTACACATTAAGGACATGCAAAGGGACTATAAATTTATAATCTGATAACATTTTGTGGGTTGCCCATTTTGAAATGCCCTTCTCCCACCCACCTCTAGGAAACAATGCACCCAAATTAACTTTGACCACAAGCATTGGAGATGTTTTCCAATTGTCTGTGGTATACAACCCAAACAGTTTATCATAATTTTCAAGATGAAGCAATACAGACATACTGACTTTAAGTTACTTGCTCTTGGGTCAGAATTTAACCCAATAAGTTGTACTTTCTACCTTGGGAAGAGATTACCTCCAAGGAGGAGAAAAACCAGTAACATTTAAATTTCCTAGAGACTGTGGTAATTATTGGATATCCCTAAAATGGCATTTGGGACTCACCCTTGCATTCTCTACTCTAGATCTCAATCATACTTCATTTTGTTCTGGCTCTAAACCTGGTCTGGTGAGAGGTCTGACTGCATTCATAAGAAACTGAAAAAAATATCTAGGAAAAAGGAATATACAATGACTGTTTTCTATTCTGAAGTCTCAAACCAGAAACAGAATTTCTTTACAACTGGACATCTAACACAGAGGATCCTAGAAATTTACACACACACACACACACACACACACACACACACAGTCTCACTTTTCAATATGACTTAAAGCAAGGATTATATAATCTTTAAACACAGAAACATACACACACAGGATGGATGGATGGATGGATGGATGGATAGATGGATGAATAGACAGACAGATAGGTAAATGGACAGATGAATGTATAATGTTCAATTACTCCTCTCAAGAATGCTCTCTGCTATTCCTCCTGGTGTCCACGGACGAGGTGCTATAAAATAGTTGATCTCTGAATAGGAACAAATGTTTCAGATCCTCCACTAATTCCTTCAGTCATTTTGTTGAACTTCACTTCCAGTGTTTTTCCTTGTAGACAAATATCTTTTGAAATAAATCGAAAGCCACCTGTTTTGTCTGATGACCGTGCAGTGTACACTAGTAAAACATTCCTCCCCTGGGCCATCAGTAGCAATTAACACAGCACTCCATATTTCAGAGTATCCCACCCTCCGCAGATCATTCTGCCCATTCATAACTGGGAACCGGAAATGGAGCCCCGCACAGAGGATGAAGTTGGACCATTGGTGGAGCATATTTATGAGGTAGGTTTTTTTTTTTTTCTTCCTTGTACTGGGGATTGAACCCATGGATGCTTTATTATTGAGCTACATTCCCAGATTTGTTTGGGTTTTTTTTGTTTTTTGTTTTGAGACAGGGTCTCAATAAGTTGCTGAGGGCCTTGCTAAGTTACTGAGGCTAACCTCAAATTTAGATCCTCCTGTGTCAGCCTCCTGAGTTTCTGTGATTACATACATATGTCACTGTACCCAGCTGGGTAACTATTTTCTATTAGCTGTTTTCTATGTTAAAGTTGTATTAGGGTTTTATTTTTATGTTCTTTATTAACAAACATACAGCATTTTGAAAGACACCAATCCAAGTTTTGAGCTTTATGTAGTATTTAGATTTTATGCTATCACATTGCAGTGGGTGGTGGGAGATGTTCTGGGCACTCACAGACATGGCCACTTCTCCTTGGTGGTGAGAGCCATTACATGGTAAGAAACATTTTATCCTGTTACTGTTTTCTTTATTTAAATGTTCTTTGTTTGCTCCCTTTTTAATATTTGGATAGCCTATGCATAAAAATGTCTAACTCCCTAGACCCTCTTTCATTTCAGATAACCTTAAAACTCACCCATTGAAGGTCACCAATTGGAAAGGTGCCAGATAGAAAATTTTATTAATTTTTCTTATACTAAAAAATGTACATATAATACATGAGATGGGTATGTGGCAGATAGATAAGAATAAATTTATTTTTCATTCAAATAACCTGATTAGAAATTAACAATTTATTTTGAAGTTTGAAATAGTCTATTGGTTAGTAAAATATTTTCCAGAAGCAAATAAGCAAAACATGAAAAGAAACTGATGTTCTTTTCCCATTTTAAGTCTTACATTGTGAACAAGATAAAGATTTATTGACATGGAGCTAACTATTTAATTTTTTTTTTTTACAATTAGAAACAAACTCATAGTAAAGGGTTAGTTTATTCATTGTTCAGCTTTTTGGTTTGGTTTGTTAATAAAGTTAATGCTATTAGTGGAGAGTGGTTATTCCTTTTCAAGGTAATATAAACTGAATTTTGATATAATGAAGTTCTAAGGTGTTTTCTGATTGAGGCCCCTTCTAGAGAGTGGTAATGCCTTATGTTCTTTTCCTATGTAACTTATGCCATCAATTCAATGATTCTAGCTTTGATTTTCATCTCAAGCTACAGGGTCACTAATAGCATTCTCTCAGGGCAACTATAAAGCCATTTCCAAACTGAATAGCTGTTTCCATAAGTGGGGAAAAGCCTCAAGTCCTGAGTAGGATTAGCCTGGAAACCTCTATTATCTGCCCAAACTGCAGCTCAGGTTTGGAAGCCCTGTCCAGAGCTGGATCAAAGTGTGGCCCTAAGCTCATCTGATAGTGAAGGGATAACCCTGTCCCAGTGGCATTCAGATCAGGAACCTCACCAGAAAAATGAAAAGCTGTCAAATAATTTATTAAATTTGTATGTGTCTGTTTCTGCTCAAGAAAGTTGAAACTTTATAGTTTGCAAAAAAACACCCAGACTCAATCATTCCCAGCGTAGTGCTGTTTCTGATCTTAGCATAAAGAGATCATAAAAGTTTAGGGTAATTACCAGCAGTGCCAAAAGCAATCATCAAATGTTTCTTACATGCTAATCTCATGTCTCATAATATACGGTACCAATGAATGCCATACTTCTTTGATAATGTCAGCTAAATAGGCCACCTAAATAAGCAAAAAAATTTTTCTTGTTTCATAGACCATGATAATTATCAGAACTGTGGGGTTGGGGGGAAGATCCCTGTTAACTTTGAAGTGAGTTTCTAAGTCCATGATAAATCTAAATATGCTTAGTGTTTTTGGCAAGCTGTTTTGTGTACTGTAAATATGGGACTTGTGTGTTAACAACATCCATCTCTTTTCTCGATGTGAACTTTTTTCCCTGGGATTTGCTGATTAAAACAAAAGTAGCTCAGCTTTGAAATATGCAAAATGAACTGAAGTGAGTACCGGCTGGCTTTTGCCCTTGATGGATAACCATTTTCCAGAGGGTAAAAGAGAGTGCATCACATATGGTTGCAATTGACAAGTCAGTAGTCAGGGAACAAAAGGCAGATTTTAAATATAAAGAAAAAATCAGTACGTTTTGAAAGCATTTAATTAAAATTGCATTTCTAGTGCTATCATTAATACAAATTCAAGGTAACCATTGCAGTTATCAGCCATGGTTAATATAGGTTGGGCAAATATAGGTTGGGCATACCTGTTCTGAAAATCAAAAATGTATTCCAAAATCCAAAATTTTTTGAGACCTGACATGATAGCACAAGTAGAGAATTTCATACTTGACCTCATATGATGGGTCACAATGAAAGATTACCTTTAGGCTTCAAGGTGAATATGAATTTTCAATGAATTTTGTGTCTAGAGTTCAGTCTCATCCCCAAGATATCTCATTATATAAGTGCAACATTCCAAAATCCCAAACACTTCTGGTCCCAAGCATTTTGGATAAAAGATGTTCAACCGTATGATCTTCAGTGAAGAAATCCACTTTCAGAGCTTCACAAACCGGACCAAAGAGTTTTTTCTAAACACCATCACATCACGCTTTCAGAGTTCCTGATTCCCATATGGACTTTTTTCTTCTTCTTCTTATTTGCTAGAGTTATTATCATGATGACTTACAACCAATAGCACATGCATTTAAAAATAGGTACAGGTCGACAGAGTTGGACTTCATATCCCCACCTTGAACTGTACCATTCCATAATCTGTCACTTGCTTACAGCTGCACAATATTGGACCGAGTACCATCAGTGACACCATTCTGGAGGTGGGCTGGCCATTCTCTGCACGGGATGAGTTTCTCCTTTATATTTTTCATATTCAAACTCTGGGACCTCTGCGGTGTCAAACAAGTCCTGATATCAACCCACAAGATATAAAGGTAAGAGCTTGATCTAATTCATAGCTTTATACACTTTTTAATGGTAAGGAAAAAGTAAAAATGGCTGCTTGTTTAAAATAGCAAAGTAATTTTATGTTGCTTCAATGATCATTGATTAGAGCTTTCCTTTCAGTTTTCTAGTTAAGCACCAAATTTAAATGTCACTCCTAAAAAACTTAAATTTTCCTAGGTTTTATTGCTCATAGTAACTTGTGATTTATTTAGCCCATTTCAATATGCATCTATTATGTAGGGTTTGATGAGCAATACCACCAAATCAAAATCATTAATAGATATGTCATGTTTTGGAGAATTAGTACAAAATTCTATTTTTGAAGTCTATTTGGTATATTTCCATAAGACACAAGCGTCTTTGCCACAAAGGGCTCTTCCAGCTGTTGTCAATAGCAAGTGGTAAAATACAGGAATTTGCCAAAGGTTTCTCGACTCCCTAAAAACCCCCAGACTGGAAGCTTATAGAGAAACCTAGAGCAGCAGCATGCTGCACCTCTTAAATGCTTCCAAATCACCTGGGAGTCTATTGAAATGCAGGGTCTGGAGGACCCCGACATTCCACCTCTCTGCAAGCTCCCACCTCCTGTGCACGTGATGGTCTGCTGGAGTTCATTAACAAGGAGCTCAACTGTCCAAATAGCTGATCCCATCCAGATTAAGACCCAAATTTGGCTTAGGTTCCTTCTGAGAAGGAAAGGAACGAATTAGCATAAGCCCTAGAAAATGTCACATTTGTATGAAAACAAAACAAAAAAATTGGTTAATCAGATGGTGTCCTCAGAAGACAACTTTATTTAAGAACAAATATTCCCTTAGTAGCTACAGGGACACAGTAACTATGGGGCAAGGGAAGGTTTCCTGAAAAATTTATTTGACTTAACCATCTGGGACAAAGGGCAGCTTTGACCCTGGGCCCAGGCATTGGGTCACTGGGAGTCATAATAGGCTTTCTGTGTCAACTCATATGCCTCCTTGTTCAAAGACAGGAAGACAAAAAGGAGACTCAATGGTAAAGGACTTGTGGGGCAACAGTCTCTTTCTTCATGGAGAAACAATAATAAGGCCACTGGTATTCCATAGTTATTTGAAATACTTGTCCCTAGGATTTTCCCCCCATTTCCTTTTTCTTCACTCTTCATTGGGATAATTTTAACATCCTAAGAGACTGTAGCTCCTTATACAATAATGTCTTCAAATATTGATGTATAACATTGAAGTATTTCAAACTTTTTCATATTTTTTAATTAAATTTTTTATTTCTTTTAATTAGTTACACATGACAGTACAATGACCTTGACATATCATACATTTGAATCAGATGAGATATAATTTCTCATTTTTCTGAGTGTACAAGTTGCAGAATCATATTGGTCATGCAGTCACATATATACACACAGTAATAATAATGTCTGTTTCATTCTACTATTGCATATTTTATTCTGTATTTTTCATGTACTATATGGATTCTTAAAGCACATGATAATGTGGAAAACTCCTGTCTCTGAGTGCAATGTTTAGTTTATATCTGACACTATTTATATATGTTTGTATATATTGTGTAACTTGTTTAATGTTCACTATGTTGGTTGTGAGTTTTTTTTTTTTTTCTTTGTGGCAATTAAACAATCACTTACAGTGACTGGAATAGTACTAATAGATAACTTGCTCAAATGTTGACAGATTCATGAAAACCAAGAGGTAGTATACACTAAGCACCTGGTATCCAGTACTTCCCACTTATTATGTAAATACTCATAGATTTTCATTAAAAACCTGTCCAAAGCTAGAAATTTTTTAAAAAATGCAAATTCTGCTCATTTTCTAAAGTTCTAAACTCCTAAAAATTGAATGTAATATTTGGTAACAATATTAAAATTGCAACAGATCTCTAAAGTAAATAATTAGAATAATATATGAATTCTTAAAATTCTGAATTCAAGGAAAGGTTCAACAACATTACTTAAAGGTTCTCAAAGTATGTCTACCTATATTTAATATATGCCCTGAAAGTCTAAAAGACTTTTTATCAATAAATAGATTTTAAAGTTGATAACCAGTATATTTCAAATCAGTGGCTATAAACAATTGAAAACATTTGAAAATTATTTTTCTCTTAAGATATTAAATAATTTCTTAGTCATATTGCTACTAATTCACTTGGCAATTTATTTCTTCCTAGAGAATGGAAAGATAAACTGTATTTTCTGTCTTAAATACAGAGTAGAAATTAGTGAAATGGAAATTGCATTTTTTTCTTATATGTTCTTATCTTCAGCACAATAAGCATCAGACACTTCTGATTTTTTTAATAATTTTTATGACTTTATTTTATTTATTTATTTTTATGTAGTGCTGAGGAAAAAAAAACCAGCACCTCCTTAGGCAAGTGATCTACCACTGAGCCACAACCCCTGCCTGACATTTCTGATTTAATATTAATTTTAAATACTTGCATAAAAGCTAATTGCTAGTTTATTTTTATTTGTTTGTTCTGTTTTTTTTTTGTTTGTTTGTTTGTTTGTTTGTTTGTTTGTTTTTGGTAAGAAGCAGAGAAAGCAGGTTTAGTAAAAGGACCAGGGAGGCAGAAATATACTTGTTAAAGCAAGAATCAAATCCCAGTATTCAGTCTTGCTTCACCCAGGAGTAAGTTACAATTCCTCCTACTTGTGCTATGGAGTGAGCGTGTTCTGTCCCCCTCCAAAACTCATGATAAAATTTGGTTCTCAGTGTAATGGTGTTGAGAGGTTGTGGGGCTTTCGTGATGAGTTTGGTTCACAGGAACTCTGCCCGAATGAAATGGATGAATGCTGTTCTTTCAAGTTAGTTCTCCTTGAAGGGTCCCCTAACGTGGCCGTAAGCTGTTCCTCCGCTTCCTCTCGCTTCCTCTCGCTTCCTCTCTCCGTGGGACTCCTTCCATTCTTCCTCCATGAAGCTGCACAGGTGCTGCTTCCGTGCTTTTGGACACCCCAGCCTCCAGAGCATGAGCTAAAATAAATTTTCTTTTATAAACTATCCAATCACAGTTATTCTCTATTAGCAATAAAACGGACTAAGACCATTTGCCGTACAGTTTCTTTATAAGGAGAAGGACAGGTGGCAAATCCTCTGACACATCTGTGTTTGCCAGCAGTCCAGTTTCCACATATCCTTCTGCCTCCTGAGGACGTTCCACACACCACTGGACCAACCCTCCAGATGTTCCATGGACTGTCATAGAGAACCTTCACCCCGACTTTCTGAAGCCAAGGGATTTTCACAATTCTCCCACCACATTCTCCTCCTCAGCCACTCAGTTGATTTCCTTTCAACCAAATCCCTTTCTCCAATGTTAGACATGCATCTTAGCCAATTTTGTCTTAGCCAATTTCTTCCTCCCATGTATATTCTCACTTTTGCTCAATTATTACTAAAAAGAGAGCTCTCCTCTCTTCTCAGCCCTCTCACAGATTTCCAAAAAACCTTATCATAAAAAAGAAACTATCCAGATTTTCTTAGAAGCATCTTCTAGGCCACCCACTTCAAGGAACCAGTGCCACCAATCTAAAGCCTTTGGAATGTCCCAGATATCCCTTAGAATCTCCACAAAGCTTCCACTTTCTAATTTCCCTCTGATTAAACTTATTTCCACCTAAATATCAGCATTCGATATCATATACTTAACACAATGATTTTTTTACCCTATTTTTTAAATTATTCATATGGCCACAGTCCTGGATACTATTATTTTTATTGCAAATACACAGTTTTATGGCATCAAAACCATATTGAGGCTTAAGTAGGCTTTTTGTGGACTGGCTTGAGAACTGAGCTACCATTCGAAATATCATTTCTAAAGAGAAATGCATTCTGAATGCCAAACATCCAAAGCTTTCTGAAATCCAACCCATCTACAAACTGAAGAAGTGTTCCAAATGCAACATGAGGCTCAAAGTCTTCTCACATAAGCCTCAAAGTCCAATAAGTCCCTAACAGTGTTCAGTTTTTATAACAGTAACTGGTACAATTTGGTTATCACCCAAGTTACCCAAATGTCCCCCAAGTTTGAGGAGGAAACACTAACAGCATGAACTTTCTAACCTGTGACTGCTTTAGGAAACAATGGGCCAACTTATCAGCTCATCCACACCTTGATTGCTCAAGTTGGGAGCATCGGTCACTGAGTTGGGGTGGGGCAAGAGTGACCACACACAGATGCTGTTAGAAGTCTGTGTACTTTTTTATTTGAATGCCTGCCTCCCAGCAGGCTTCGGTGAGACTCATTCAACTTGATTTGCTGACATTGTTCAAATCTCAGAATCTGAGGTAGGTAGAAATATGGGTGGTAATGGGGTTCAGGAGAAGATGAGCTATGCAAATCCTCATTTTTCTACCTGAGAAAACCAAGACCCAGCCAATGTCCGCATGGTGGTCCAGAAGTGCCTTGGGCTCACTCTCTCCTGCTTTCACTCTGGCCTTCTATGACATGGTTGCTGCCCTTGTGTTTCTGTTCCCCCAGGATGGCTTCCACCTCCTCAGGTTCATTCACCTGCCGTCTGTGACGTTAGGGATATTAGCAGACATCCATGCAGGTTCTGCCTCCAGGCTTCACCATCTTAGGTCAGAGGAAGAAGACTGTCATGTGGCAATTTCTTCACATTCTACCATTCAAAACATTTTGAAACATTCAACTGTCTGCAGCATTCAGACCAATCCATTAAATCTAATTTGTTCCAGATCCTTCTTGGAATCAGATTTTAGAGTTGAGTAAAGTATTTCTCAACTATACTAAAGGCAGTAAAATAATTATTTCAAACTATCAATTTTGTTATTTTGGTGGACTTTATCCTGGGGTTTGGAGAGGCCTTCAAACACACTATGATCTTTTGATAAGATGAAGTTGAAAATGTAAAAATCTACTAAGGAACCAAAAATTTCATAAAGAGTAAAGGATTTTTTTTTCAATTTGGCAAGATTTGTGATAAACAGTGAGAGAAAGGGGGAGAGGA